TAATTTTCACAAAGATGAAGCCCTAGTAGCTCTGAAACTCACATGAAGCCACGCCTCTGCTGCCTGGTCCAGTGCTGTGCTAACTGCTCAGCCTGCCCAGGTACAGTTGGGTCTTTGTCTATGGAGCAGGGAGTTCCACTGTGATGTATGCATCTCGCCTGCACTGGCAGGCCATTGACTACCCCCGCAACCAGCCTATGCCCACAGCCCTTTGTGGGGTAAGCAGGAGAGCTGGACTCAGAGCCCTCAATTGACTAGAGAGACGGTAGAGCTGGCCTTTAAGATAAATTTTGCTTTTTAGAGAGAACAGAAGGGGAAGCATCACACAGCAATAGGGCCACTTTCTTGCCAGAGGGGGTGGATGCCAAAGGTGCTGGATCCTTTGCTCACTGGTTTATCCTCAATATACCGGGAAAAATAGTCATCCCAATTCACTGGTCCAGGTTTTTAATCACACAGTACTGTGTGATGAAATTCTTCCTGTAGAATGACTTAACTGGATGAAAATATCATGTTTCTTTTTTATCTTTAGAAATGTGTTGCTCTGGCCAGGCACGGTGGCTCATGCCTGTAATCCCAGCATTTTGGGAGGCCAACCGAGGTGGGTAGATCACCTAAGGTCAGGAGTTTGAGATTAGCCTGGCCGACATGGTGAAACACCGTCTCTACTGAAAATATAAAAATTAGCCAGGTGTTGTGGCATGCACCTGTAGTCCCAGCTACTAGGGAGGCTGAGACAGGAGAATCGCTTGAACCCAGGAGGCAGAGGTTGCAGTGAGCCAAGATTGTGCCACTGCACTCCATCTTGGGCAAGAGAGGGAGACTCCATCAAAAAGTAGTAATAAATATGTTGCTCGTTCACCAATTCTTGAGTTTGAGGAAATTGGTTAGGAAAGATGTTTCTATGACTAATTTCACAATCATCCTTAGAGACTGGAGTGCTGTGCTGCTATGTGTCTGCATTTATTGTCTGATTTGTCTAAGTGAAATGTCCTCAACTGTCAATATTCTTTTTTTGTCATTATGAGTGGATATTGAAAAGTCCTGAATTCCCCTACCGTCTGAAAGATTACATAATTCTTCGGGCAATGCAGTAAAGAAACCAAAGGATGATGTAATAGCCATGGTTTATTTCACTACTGCATCTTCTTTCTGGCAATGCTATCATTCTTCCATTTTCTTATTAGGCTTGTGTACCATGGTTAGATATAATTAATGAGTAATATGAAATAATTTTTAGGAGGAAACAGCAAATTGTTACAAGTTTTAGGAAAAATAAGCTCATCAAGAGCTCAAATGCATTTTAGATTTATAAAAGAATCGGGCTGGGCACGGTGGCTCACCCCTGTAATCCCAGCACTTTGGGAGGCTGAGGCTGGCAGATCACCTGAGGTCAGGAGTTCGAGACCAGCTCAACCAAAATGGAGAAACCACATCTCTACTAACTACAAAATTAGCCGGGCATGGTGGTGCATGAATACTCAGTGGTGCATGTACTCAGTGAATACATGGTGGTGCATGGTGCTGAGGCAAGAGAATGACTTGAACCCGGGAGGCAGAGGTTTTGGTGAGCTGAGATCACGCTATTGCACTCCAGCCTGGGCGCTGGGCAACAAGAAAGAAACTCTGTCTCAAAAAAAAAAAAAAAAAAAAAAAATCCAGGCTGGGCGCAGTTGCTCATGCCTGTAATCCTAGTACTTTGGGAGGCCGAGGAGTTCAGGAGTTCCAAACCAGCCTGGCCAACATGGTAAAACCCCATCTCTTCTAAAAATAAAAAAATAAAAAATTGGTGTGGTGGTGCATTCCTATAATCCCACCTACTTGGGAATCTGAGCAGGAGAATCACTTGAACCAGGGAGGCAGAGGTTGCAGTAAGCCTAGATTTCACCACTGCACTCCAGCCTGGGCAACCAAGTGAGACTCCGTCTCAAAAAAAAAAAAAAAAAAAATTACAGTGGCACAACCTAGGCTCACTGCAACCTCCACCTCCCAGGTTCAAGTGATTCTGCCTCAGCCTCCTCAGTAGCTGGGACTCCAGGCATGTGCCACCACACCTGGCTAATTTTTGTATTTTTAGTAGAGATGAGGTTGCGCCTTGTTAGCCAGGCTGGTCTTGAACTCCTAACCTCAGGTAATCCACCCACCTCAGCCTCCCAAAGTGCTGGAATTACAGTCTTTTTTAAAAAAAATAAATCTTGTTCTTTGGAAGACCACTGATAATAGCCAGAAAATATCAATCCTTACAAATAGAACTACTCAAAAAAGAAACTCAAAAACTAAATTTGGGTTCAGTGGCTTCTGAGGGTATACCACCAGTGAAGTGTCTGTCCTCAACAAGGGAGCGAACGGCAGACCCGCACACCTGAGGGCTCAGTGCTCTCGGAACTCCTGGCCTGGCTTCCTGCTGAGTGGCAGCAGTCCCTCTCGTTCATTTGGAGAGAACCATGTCTCCATCGAGCTGCAGGCCTCTAGGGCGGGGACAGTATCCCATCGGGCGGGGACAGTATCCCATCGGACTGGGACTCCCCATGGTGGCAGTGGTGGTCTCTCTTCCTTCCACACAACTGTGCTGCACTCAGACTGTTTGTTAGGTTAGCAGAGCCTGGGGGACACAGCTGGGCTCTGGTCTGAATCCAATGCTAAGTCTCTGTTTCCTCATTTGTGAGGGGGCAGGCGGGCAGCAATAGTGCCTGCCTTACAGCTATTACAAAATGTGGTATAGTCTATGGGAAGCCTTGTTCCAGGCATTGGAGGACACAGGTGAAGCTGACACCTTTCCTGCCTTAAGGGGCATCCTATGGGTGTGTCAGGAGAGACTAGAGAGGTCACATAAAAAGAAAGGCCTGGCTATGTGTCCGGTGATAGAGAGGGCAGCAGATAAGGAAGGGGCACAAGGAGAAGAGGCAACTCTGGGGTTGAGGTTATGAAGTGGGCCTGGGTGGACAAAGAGGAGAGGGCGTCGGCACTTGCATGAAAACATACTGGAGGCATGAACAGTCAGTGGGGGGGAAATGGGGCACTCTGCCTGGCATGTGGGAAGGCTCCAGCCAGCTGAGATGCCCAAGTCTTTGGTAAGAACGTGCCCTGGCTCTGCCCCTACCTTTTCCCTGAGTAGGCCAGTGATACAGTGCCTTCTTTGCTTTTTCCTGAGCACTCCCCATGGGGTGGGAGCAGGCAGGCTCGGTGTTCCCACTCCCCTCCCCCTGCTGCCATTATCAGCTGTGTCCAGATGGTCACAGGCTCCCTAATCTGGGATAATCAGCAGGTCGGAGCTCAGCTGGGACTTGGGCCTTTATGCCTGCCGTGATGGGCCAGCCCCAGCTGGAGAGACCCTGTAACAGGGCCCTGGGGCTTTGGAAGAGCGGGTGGGAGGTGGGGCTCGCCTTGTGCTGGAGGGAGACTCAAGAAGCAGATGATCATTCCTCTTCCAAAGGCAATCTGAGTACAAATAAGGGGGAGCCTGCAGCTGGGGCCTGGCCAGCTTCTCCAGGCCTCACAGCCACAGGCACAGAACCTTGCAGAATCTGTCTGTGGCGTCTTTTGTTCCCTTTCTCCCCCTCTCTGAGCTCACCCCCCTCCCCTTCCCAGCAGTTGTTGCCCCTAGAGCCCCAGACTTTTTGTTTTGTTTTTGAGATGGAGTCTCATACTGTTGCCTGGGCTGGAGTAGTGAAACGATGTAGGCTCACTGCAACCTCCGCCTCCCAGGTTCAAGCAATTCTTCTGCCTCAGCCTCCCAAGGAGCTGGGATTACCAGTACCTGCCACCGTGCCCAGCTAAATTTTTGTATTTTTAGTAGACACGGGGTTTCACTGTGTTGGCCAGGCTGGTCTCGAATGCCTGAACTTGTGATCCACCAACCTTGACTTCCCAAAGTGTTATAGTGCCATCAGGAACTTGTGCCCTGATTGACATTGGGCACTTCACAGTATCTAGTGCAGAGCAGGGTGACTGGATTCTCAGAGGCCTGTGGCTGCGGTGCCCCCACCCTGAGCCTGCAGTTTGCTGTGAGCCTCCACTCCGTGGTTGTTCAGGGATTCATAACTTTTTGTTTCAGCCTCTTCCATGAGTGGGGGAGCCCCGACCCCCCTTGTACCTGGCTCCTAGCAGTGAGTGCTGATAATCTCAAATTTAAGGACAATAACTTCATCTGGGAGGAGTGTGGGAAGGGATGTGTTTGGGAATGGACACAGGCCTACAGAGGTGTTTGTAACCATGTCTTTCTAAGTGGTGGGAAACAGACATTTTTATTATTCTTTACCTGTTTATATATATAACAGGTTCTTTTTATGCATGACATATTTTATAGTTTTTTAAAAATGTCCACACTACTCTTTTGAAAGTAAATGAGATAATGTATATGTCAGAACCTAATACTGAAAGCGATAGTAGTAAGAGGTAGGGCCTTTGGGAAGAGATGAAATTGCTCATGAATGGGGGGGCCTTCCTGAGTGGGATGAGAGCCCTCATAGAAGAGGTCGGAGGGAGCTGCCTGGCCTCCTTCTACCATGAGAAGACTCAGCAAGAAAACACCATTTATGAAGCAGAGCACCCTCACCAAACACCAGATCTGCTGGCCACCTGATCTTGCACTTCCCAGCCTTGAGAACTGTGAGAAATAAGTTTCTGTTGTCTATAAATCACCCAGTCTAAGGTGTTTTGTGATAGTAGCTCAAACAGACTGCAATGGTATGAAAGTGCCTCCTAAAGAGTAAACACAGGGAGCAGATATTGGACATTCCATCTCAGGAGGGCAGACTGCAGCTGGAACACAGACCCAACAAAGTTGTTGGTTTTTTTGTTTGTTTGTTTTTGAGATGGATTCTTGCTCTGTTGCCCAGGCTGGAGTGCGGTGGCATGATCTCGGCTCACTGCAACCTCCACCTCCTGGGTTCAAGCAATTCTCTGCCTCAGCCTCCTGAGTAGCTGGGATTATAGCGCCTGCCACCACGCCTGGCTAATTTTTATTTTTTTATTTGTAGTAGAGACGGGGTTTCACCATCTTGGACAGGCTGAACAAGGTTTTATTTTTGCAAGAAAAGGGACCATTAAGTTAAGGGCTCTTTGTGTGGAGGTGCCACGAGGGAGAAGAGTGTACATCTGAGCTCCGCTTGCCTGTCTGCCTCCTGGCTCAGGCTGTCCAAGTCTGAGTCACCTGTCCAGGTTCTGGACGATGGTGACACAGCCATGGGAGCTGGTGCAGCGCTGCAGGGACGGCTGCGCCTCCACCTGCCCACTGCTGGGGTCAAAGGTGAAGACCTTATCGGTGCTTTCTCCATGATCATCCCGCCCACCAAGGATGTGGACCTTCCCATCACACACAGTGACTCCACAGCTCTCCTGGGTGGACAAACAGAAACACAATTAACTATCAGGTCCAGCCCATGCTCCCTCTGTCCCTACCTGACCAGGCCAGATAATAGAACCTTGACCCACAGACTGTGAGCAGGCAATTTGGACTGCAGAGAGGCAGGAAACTGGATGGACCAGAGTTCAAGCTCTGGCTTGACCCTTACTCAATGAATGGCCTTAGGCAAGTCATTTAACCTCTCTGGACCTGAGTTTCCTCATCTGCAAAGGGAGAAGAACAAGAGTGCCTTCTTCACAGGGATCCCTTAACAGTTAATGGGAGTTAAGCATATAAAGCATTTTACATAGAGCCTGGAATATGGTAAGCACCCAGTAACAATAATCTCCACTGCCACCATCTTAGAATCTTAGACTCAGAGAAGCCAGAAATCTTAGCTTCTTAAGGTCACCAAAGTTCAGAACTGGCAGAGACCACCAGTCCAGCCATACACGTGTAGTCTCTGGAATTTCAGGGGATGGAGATGAAGGTAGGGGAGGCAAGGAACTGCAGGGGCCAGAGCTTCCAGGACTTGGGCCTCATATCACTAGAGAGCAGAACTTAACAAGTCCCTTTCCTACCCCTTTCCCCATGATTGGCTACCAGCAGTGAGTGGCTTTAGGGCAGGAGGGTCATTTAGACCAAACTCGCACTCAAAGCTACAGCACTTGGAACTGCGGAGTTCTAGGCTCTGCCTTAAGAGGGCCTAGGTGCTGAAGCTCTCTAAGGCCAATCTCCTCATCTGTGAAATGCATGGTTCACTATCACTGAGGACAAAGCTAGAGAACTATGTATAATAAAACCACCAAGCATGGAGTCACACCAGATTCACAAGCTCCAAGAATCAGAGCCTTAGAAATGGCTTCTGCTTTCCTGCCTTGAAGCCTCCACTTACCACAGGGCTGGGGAGGACAGCTGCCTCCCCCCACACATCTGTGCCTGGATCATAGGTGAAGATTTTGCTCATGAGACCCCCCAGGACATAGATGGTGTCGTCCAGGGAGACAGCCTCGAGACACCGCTGTGAGAAGGGTGCTGGTGACCGCAGGCTCCACTGGTCTTCCTTGGGGTCAAAGCACTGCACCTGAGGGGCAAGAGGAGGAGTGGTGATGAAGCCTCACTGCCCCCTCCCACCCCGCAACTGCCCCACTGCCCACACGCTACCACCTCTCTCCCCCAGGGGCACTCATTCGAAACAACATTTGTCAAATGTCCACCAGGCCCAAGCCAGCATCTGGGAGGGAGGGGGAGAGCCACAGTTCCTGCCCTCAAGGGCTCTCCATCTCGTTCGATGTTCTATCCTCTGCCTCTGGACTCCCTTTGTCAAAAGCCTCCCCATCTTTCAAGGTCCTGCTCAAATGCCACCCCATCCTTAGAAGCTTCCCTGGTGTTTCCACTCCTCCTCCCCGCGCAGGAGCAGCCGTTCCTCTGATGGAGAACACAGTGGCCTCATGTGAGATGAATCACAGGAGCACATCATACAGAGCTGGGAGAAGTACCCTCTGCTTTAGGGTTATAATGGGTTATAGAGCAGACCCCCCACAGGGATGTGTTCCTGGCTGCATACACTGTCAACTCTCTTTTCCTGGTGCTCTCAGGTCATAAGATTCCAACTGAGGTGTTTTGCAGTCCTATTCCTACACCTGTCCACATGTGCATGGGTGTTTCTGATGCCCTTAACAGTTTCTGTATGTAGTTGCCTGCTCACCTCACTCTGTTTCCTCAACTGTTTCCTTGGAGACCCCCCACAGCAGCCTATAATAAATCAGTGCAACATGGGATGGTGTTAAATGGGGCCTCCCACCATGAGTGCCCATCACTCAGCTCCAGGAGGGTTTGCTGGAAGAATGTGGTCAGGGAATAAAGAAGGCTGGGTACCCTAATTTGGGTAATAAGTCTCAGGACCACAGGCCTATGAGCCATCAGGGGAGGGAAGGAACTGCTGCAATAAAGATGTTTATTTGCAAAAAGCTTAAATGTCCAACAGTAAAAGATGAGTAGACTCTAGTTCATCCACCAAGTGGAATAGTACAGACATTGAAATGACAGCTGTAAAGTTGCTAAGCACATGAAAAGTGCTCATAATTAAATTAGGATAAAAAGCAGGATGCAAAATTCTACTAATAGTGAGAACACAAAACTGTAGAAAAACAAAAATCAATTCAGTGGAAGCCTGGAAGGCAATGCACCAAAATATTAATAGCAGCTCTGCCTAAACAATGGGATTATGGGTGATTTTTTTTCTATTCTGTGTTTTCTAAGTTTTCAGTAATGAGTGTATTATTTTTGGAATGGAACAAAAGCATTTTAACTATCTTGCCCTTAATTTTTAAAATCTATGAAACTTACATGGCACCAGCCCAAACATTTGAGACTTGGTATGTTGCTGACCCACTGTGTGACCTTGGGGTCATTTTTTCTGCTCATTTCCTTGCCTGAAACATGGAGGTGATTTGTCTGGGCTGTTGATGGGATTAAGTAAAGAAATGGACAAGGGCATGGAAATGCCCAGCTCTGCGCCTGGCACACATTGGGCGCTGCAGCCTCCCGACACCCGCGCCCACCTTGTCCGTGTTGACGCCATCCTGCCCGGCACCCCCAATCACGAAGAGCTGGCCCGCGCAGGACGCCACCGCGGCCGAGCTCACGGCCTCTGGGAGGGGCGCGGCAGCCGCCCAGGTGTTGGAGAAGGGGTCGTAGCGCTCCACGCTGCGCAGGCGCCTCAGGCCATCGAAGCCACCCACCGCGAACAGCTGCAAGTGAGGACATAGGCCAGGGCCTTAGGCCTCTCGGCCTCGCTGCTTCAGTCTCACAGTCTTTGAGCTGGAAACTAACCTGTCCCCAACCCAGCTTCAGGACCAAACCGACCCGGAAGCCCAGCACTGCCACCACCTGGGTGTCCTCCACCTAGTTGCTGTTACCTCCCTGAGCCGGTTTCTTCTCATTTATGGGGATAATGAGACCTGTCTCTCTCTAGGATGGGTACTGAATGCAGGTTAGAGCTGTAAAATACTTGACACCAAGCTGATGCTTAATAGCTAGTATTAAGACTTTACCACCCCACTTAATTGATTCTAAGAAGCATTTTTATTTGTGTTTCTGGATTCGGGATGTAGCTTACAAAGAAAATTGACAGATTCTTTTTGTCTTGAGTGGCAGAGTCAACCTTCGAACGTAGACTGTATAGCCCCAGAGCCTACACCCTTGACCATCAAGCTGTTACAGCAATTGCTATTATTATTAGCATCAGTGCTATTATGTGACCTTGGACAAGTCTCTTTCTTTTTCGGAGGGCCTCAGACCCTTCTTACAAAAAGAGGGTTTTAGAGAACCTCCCTCCAGGACATCCACAGATCTGTACCTTGGGTCCCAGGGCAGCAGCTGCAGCTCGTGCCTACCTGCCCCTGCACAACTGCCATCTTGTGCCGCCACCTGCCCTTGTGCAGAGAGGCTACCTTGATCCAGGTGTGCAGATGGGAGCTAAACGTCCACACATCGTGACTGTTGATGTGGCCTCCTAGGGAGAGAAAAGCACCTGTTGCCCACAGCTGTCTTGCTATCCCCAGCACCCCCAAAGAGCTAGAAACTAGGGCCCCCAGATCCAAAAGAAGGGTTAAGGGAAGGCAGAAGGAGGAGTTCCTCTTGAGCTGGTGTAAGACTCTGGGCCTGTGACCCAGACAGTGTGCTTTGAGTAAGTGGTGAGAAGGTCTGAGTTAGGACTCTTGAAGGGAGAAGCCTGAAAGGTTCAGGAAGAAGGGGCTGGTTTTCATTGGGCAGTGGTGGTGGTGTGTCAGGCTCTGTGCTCAGAGAAGCAAAGAAGAGACTGCTGTACTAAAGGTAAGAGTACAAAGGGTACCCGAGGCAAGTATCTGGAATGTGCTGGGGACCCAGGAAAAGCAGAGCCACCTGCATTGGGAGCCAGGAGGGGTAGAGGGTGGCCCAGTAACCCTCCCTTCCTCTGCCTTCACCTGCACAATTTCATTTCTGATCTCATCCCTCCATGAGGTATTGGGAATATTACACCCAATTTATATATAAGAAACTCAGATGAGGCTTAGAGACCAGCAATGACCTGAAGACTACATGGCCTTTTGTCAAGGCAATGGGCAGAACCAGAGCTTCTGGCTCCAGGCCCAGCACTGGTGCTGCTGGAGGACATGGCATGCCCTATAGGACCAGACACTGGGGACGCAGGCTGTGGACTTTTTCTTCCCATACCTAGCCACCCTGGGGATCTTGGTCGGGGATTCACCTCTGAATGGGAGCCTCCCTGGGGACAACCCTAACTGTACCCCTGAGCCTGAGCCTGTGACCAGAGCCACATCTGTTTGGTAGCCCCATCTTTGTTTATTTCTAGTGGCGCCCAACAGAGGCCCTACATGTTGCTCAGAGCCATTAACGACCTTGGATAAATTGTCCAGTGGTAATGTGTGGTCTCTGAGGCCTCCACGGCTTATTCTCCTGCTCCTTATCCTTTGCAGGCACCCATAACTCACTCTAACATCAAGTTCAATCTACCTAGCCCCAGATTCAAAGCCTCCCTGATCCGACTCCTGCCTCACCTATGATACTCAAGCTGTGCTTCAGAGCCCCAAGTGCCCAGGGTTCCTTTCTGCATGTCTTTGCCCTTGTGCCTCTGCCTATACTGTTCCCTCCAACTTTCAAGGTCCAGCTGAAAAGTCATCCCTTCCATGAAGCTGGGATAGATTCCCTGAGTGGCATTCCAGATCATCTGGGGACTCTGAGAGTTCTGATCACATTCTGCCTGGTGGTAAAGTGAAGTCTGTCTCTCCTCTCCAGGACACCAGGGGAGCAAGGACTGTGTTTTATGCTTCTCTGAGTCTTTAGGGTCTGAGCCTCAGGGAGGACACAGTTTTTTGGTATCAAACAGCTTTGTGTTCCTCCTAGCTTTGCCATGTTTGAGACAATTGGGGAAATTCTGAGCCTCTTAGAGCCTTCCTCATCTGTAAACAGTATGGGGATTAAATGATAACCAATGTAAGCTGCTTAGCATAATGTTTGGCACACAGTAGGCTAGATGAAGTGATTATTAATACTAACACGAACTGGATTCCCTAGGAAGCCGGCTCAGAACAAAAAGTAATCGGAATTGAAGTTGACATTGGTGAATAAAGGGCGGGTCAAACCTGTAGTTTCTGCTCACTTCAGCCAATAACTGTAGGCTATCAGAAAACATCCCGCCTTCCTCTCCCCATTGGAGGGAAAAGCAAAGGGGGCGAATTGTGAGAGGAGACTAGCCAATCCCGTGTGAGCTCCCGTTGCGGCCCCACCCTCACCGGAGACGTAGACGTCATTGCGGAGAGCACAGGCGGCAAATTCTGAGCGAGTGTAGCCGGGCAGGCTGGGCAGTGGGGTCCACCGCTGGCTCTCTGGGTGGTAGGCATCGGCGAAGGGCAGCTTCAGGAGACCTTTGCGGTCGCAACCACCGATGACCACGATCACTTCAGCTAGGTCCATGAATCTGGCGTGCGGATAAGCCCAGTGCCTGTTGGGCCGCACCCAAGTTCGGCCCTCGCTCACCCTCTCGACCACAATGCACTGTCCCGCTTCCTTTCATGCGCTTCTGCCATCACCCCACCCACCCACCCTCAGGTCCCACTCCCGCTGGACTCTGCCACTTCCAACTTTTCCTGCAGGTATAAGAGAATCGCTAATTCTTACTGTATTCTGCTGACCTCTAAACTACAGAAAAAAACAATCCTTACAGATCCCTTGCCCTCACCTAGAAAAATCACCTTGTTTAATCCGTATGACAGTTCTATTAGTAGGGATTATTACCCCTTTCACAGAGGAGGAAACTGAGGCTCACATACCATGGCGTGACCAAAGTCATGCAGCCATTAAGCGACAGAGCTATAATTCAAGCCCAGGTTTGTCTGTGGGCTAACTCTTCAACACCCTTTCTCACCTCCAACCTCTGATTCTGCTCCCTCCCTCCTACTATGACATCCCCTCATCCCTAATTCCATTGAGCCAGATAACTCACCCTTTCAGCAAACCATTCTTCCCTCTCACTGACCCCTCAGGCATCTGACCCCACCAGAATTTCCATACCCTTTGGCCACTGGTTTTCTAATTCCTTTGGCACGTACTGAGCAACTGTGTCCCAGGTCCTGGGCTTAGCGTTAGAGATAGTGTCGTCCCTGGGGGCGTGACCGAGGACTACTCTACCCAGAGTCTCCCAGTCCAGCTTCCCAGGGGTGAGGCAGGCCGCTTTCACTCTTTCCCCACGCCCCTGCCTACTTCAATCCCTCATTAGTCTGTGAGCTCCCAGAAGGCAGAGTGTTTCCAAATCACTTCCCCGTCCCGGTACCCTGCACAGAACTTGCGTAGAGTAGTAAGTACTCTCACGGTTGCCAGGGGGAAAAAAAGTGTGCCCGAGGTGTGGGATCTCTGCATCTCCCTCATCGGCCTGTTAACTCCTCAGGGGCAGAATTCCGAACAAAGAGCCTCTAAAATGTTCAACAAATGACTGAATATAATCAAGAGGCAGTATTAAAGGATGGTGAAGAAATGAATGAGCGGTGGAAGAAGGCGGGAAGAACAGAGGGCCGGAGGCTAGGAAACGGCGGCCGTACCTCCGCGGCCGGGTCCGCAGCGCGCCAGCCTCGCGGCCCAAGATGAAGCAGGCGCGGGCCTCGAGCAGCAGCGGACGGCACTCGCCGCAGGCCTGCAGCAGCTCGTCGGTCTCCACCTTCTCCAGGAAGTAGGCGGGCGCCAGCAGCGGCAGGCGCACGTGCTCCAGCAGGCGTCGCAGCTGCCCGCGGCGGGCCGGCGCGTCGTGGCGCACCCAGCGCATGGCTGCCTCGAACACGGCCTCCTCGCGCGCCACGCCCAGCCCGGGGTCCGCCAGCAGCGCCGCCACCTCGTCGGGCGCCAGCTCCAGGAAGTCGGCGTGGCGCGCCACCTCGGCGAAGGCCTGGCGCAGGACCCGGCCGCAGCGCTCGGCCAGCGGGGTCAGCGAGAAGGCGGCGGCCACGCGGCGTAGCGCCAGACTGTTGGCGGCGCGTAGGCGGCCCTCGAGAAAGCGCACGCAGGCCTCGCGCAGGCCAGCCAAGCCCAGCCGCTCCGCCAGCGCCAGCACGGCCGCCGCCTCGTCCTCCGCGCGCAGCCGCACGCCCGCGCCGTACACGTAGTCGAGCACCACAGCCAGTGCCGCCGCCGCCCCGGCCGGGCCTGAGCCCGGCGCGTCGGGCACCATGGGTACCACGGCCGGGACGCGCTCGGGTCGCCCGGCCGCGAACAAGCTGCGGAAGTAGGCGCTGCCCGCGCTGAGCGCTGCGCGGTGGCAAGGGAAGTCGCGGCCCCCGGCGCGCAGCACAACGTCGGTGAGGGTGCCGCTCCGCCGGTACGCGTTGAGGGTCTGCAGCACGCGCTGCGCGTGGCACGGGCCCGCACACGGCGCCTCGCAGCCTGGCTCCGACTCCTCCGGCCCAGGGGCTTCCCGCATCCTGCCGAGGAGAGAACACAAACAACGTCGGGGAAGCCACCTGGCTGCGCCCGGGAGAGGGAACCGCCCTCATCCGTTTATTTCCTCCCGTGACCATTCGTTCAGCGACTCTCCCCTCCGTCCACCGTCCAGGTTCCTTATGACTACAGTGACCCAGCCCCGCCTCACCAGCACGACATTCTGCCCTGCGTACCCACTCAGACACAGTGCCCTTTTCGGTTCTTCAAACTCGCTAAGCGTTTTCCTATCGATATCTGCGGGAGACAGATGGCGCGCTTTCAAATAGGGTAATCGGAGGAGGGTCTAACAAAGGAACGATTTCCAACGCGGAGGCGGCGTTAGGGTCTCCAGCAGGGGTAGGGGGGTGCGGCAGGCTGTTAACAGCAGGGCGCCTTGGCCGCCCCGGGGTCTGAATCGGGAGGGCAGGGAGGTTACTGGAAATTGGAAATACATCTGTGTAAGGAGGATCCGGTGACAAGCTGAAGCCCTGGGTCGAGGGACTCTGCCCCATAGAGACCCAGTGTGTGTGCGCGTGCAGGGGAGAGAGGGTACAGTAACTCCACAATCCTCTGCTCAGTCCAGCCTGTCGCCTGCGGATCTCTGGTAGGTGCTTGGCACTGACCACACCCTGAGCCAGTTCCCTCGACAGACAGAATTCATACACACAGCATTCGCACAAACGGTTTCAACAAGTATTTATTGAGAGCCTTTTCTGTGTCAGGCAGTGAGAAAGACAACCATAGTTTGGGTGTGCCCAGAGCTCTCAGCCTGGTGGGATTGCCTCAGGCAGGCACCGAGTGTTAGGGGAGTTCATAAGAAGGGGCGCTGAACCCGGGTGGAGGGGAGTCAGGAGGGTGTCCCTTCCAGCTGAGAAGGATGGGCGAATTCTGAAAGGAGAGCGGGTTAGAGCCCAGGCTGAGGGAAGCTGGCCCTGTGTCTGGTGAGTTCTCTTGGTGTTCTCCAGGTAGCAGCGTCAGGAATTGGAAAGAACTCTAGGGACAAATGGGGATTCTAACCCTGTCCCTGCCACTGGCTCAGGTGTGGCCAAGGCAAGTCACTCCTCTCACCTGCCCGCCCTGGCCTCAGTTATCTCATCTGAAATGGGATCATAATGCCTACCTCACAGGGCTGTGGCTTCATGACGATTAGGGACTGTATGAAAAGTGCTAGCACATAGTATGAGCTACGTGAGTGTTTCCCTACATTGTTTTTACTCAAGAGGAAGGGAGGGCACTTTGTGTGCCAGTTGCTTTTATAGACAGGATTTAATTTCATCCTCACAACCCTGAGAATTTTCTTTAGCCCACCCCTGTCCCTTTAGTTTTGTCATAAGGGAAACAAGCACACACAGGACACCTGCCCTTCAGAGGTTTGCAGCCAGGCTCAGTGGAGGGTGTTGTGAAGACACTCTGCAGACTGAGGGGCTGGGCCATGCTGGTTACGATTTGGCCATTATGAACACGCACCTCTGCTTGCACGCCTCCAGGGACAGGGAGCTCCCTCCTATCTGTCAGCTTACTCTAGAAGCCTCAGGTCTAGCCTCTACGCCCTGCCTCTCCTTCCATCCTCCTGCTCCCAGCTGTTCTGCTGTCTCTGGAGGTCACATCCTGGCCAGTGTCAGTCTGGCTTTCATGCCCTGGTCATCCTGGGCAGCGGATCTGCTGGCCAGCATCATGAGAAATGAGTTCCCTGGTGGGCAAGAAAGTTAACTACTTTTTTTTTTTTTTTTTAAAGATGGGGTTTCACCATGATGGCCAGGCTGGTCTTGAACTCCTGACCTCAGGTGATTCACCCACCTCAGCCTCCCAAAGTGCTAGGATTGTAAGTGTGAGCCACTGTGCCCAGCGAAAGTTAACTACTTTTGCCCAAGTGGAGAGGCTGGATCCTGAATGCACCTGGCTCCAGGGTTTGCATGTCACACTTGCCAGGATGGGGTATGTCCAGAGGAGCAGCCAGGACTGGTTATGCTGCAACCAGTCTGTCCTCCACTGGCCCAGAAAGCAACTACACTCTGAGTTGAGACCCAAGAGGACAAGTCTCATCAGCATAAGGATGGACTTCTTCCCAAGGTGTCCCATAGCACAAGCAGTTCCCTGGGGAGGGAGAGTCCCCTCCTAGAAGTGTGTCACTATTTTTTCATTTTACTATCTACTGCACTGGGCGCTCTGGACACACAGGGTCGTCAGATCCAGCATTCACTCTGGGGATCCCCAGTGTGTGGGGGCTGAAGGACACCCAGTTGGAACATGGAAGGTAAAAATTCCCAGGTAGGGCTCAATGGGTATCCTCCCTTCTAGGCTGAATCTAGGCACTTCAAGCCAGGGGTCATGACGAAGACTGAGGGCCCAGGCTGTAGAAGTTAACTCGAACATGCCACTATCACTGTCTTTTTCTGACACCCACATCCACTCACACAAACCCACACTCGGACTTGCAGACACCCCGCAGCTGGCAGCCCTGCAGCCTAAGCCTTGCCCCTCACACTGGCGCTTACCTGGCCACGCCCTCACAAGTGCTCTGCAGCTGCTGCTCTCAGGTATCACTCCCGTCTGTGCCTGCCGCCCACACCCCTGGCAGCCCAGGCTCCAGTGTTCCTGCCGCTGTGCCTGACTCCTGCTCAGGCTCAGCTGCGGGAGGACAAAGGGGCTGGACGCCAGGAGGAAGGAGGAGGGAGGGGAAGGGAGAAGCGAGTGGGGAGGGGGATGCTGGGCTTTTGTTCCACTCTTGGACTAGCCCTGGGAGAGAGGTAAAGAAAGGGGGCATAAGAGTGGGATTGACTGTGTGTGCAACTCCAGGATTTGGCGTGCCTGGGTTTGGGGGTGACCTGGTGCTGGCCTTGTCCCCGAATGAGGGTGGGTTTGACGGTGTATGGTGCTGGAGTAGGGGTGTGGGAGGGGTGTCGTCATGCAGTTATGGGCATGTAGGTTCCAGGGTGACTGTGATTGTGGAAGTGCATGGAATGAAGTGACGGTGTAGCATTGGCTGGGTGTGGACATATGGCTGTGTGACCATGTAGATGCCAACGTGACTAAGCATGTCTGGGGGCACAATGGCTCTGAGTCTCACTCCCTTAGCCCAGAGAGAGGTGGGAGCGTTCCTCTGCCCCAGGAGGCAGAGCACTTGCCAGGCATTCAGTAGCACAGGCAGGAGGGCCAGTCCCAATGGAGCTTCCAACATTTGCAGGGGGCGTTTTTCCTTTTTACCCATAAGGTGCCAGAATCTCCTAGACTCAAGAATTCTATTCAGAAGATCCCTATTTGGAAGAGACATACCACTTGGCTCCCAGGAAGCATGGAGTTAATTTGATGCAGGCTGAGGCTGGGGCTCAGCTTCCCCCTTTCCCCTCAGGACACACCCATGACCAGGACAAAAGGGAGTTACAGGCCTGCTCCAACTCCACCACTGACCCCTGCCCACAGACAGCAGAGGCCCCAAGGGCTGAAAGGAAAGGACACCTGCGGTCCCAGGGCTGTACTTTGGCTTTCAGCCCAGGTGCCCTCAGTCCTGGGCATGGGCATGGGCCCTCCTCAGGCAGGTCCAAAGTTTGGAGAAGTCAAAGCCAAATACCTGCCAGGAAGAGGTCTCCCTGAGCTAAGGGCTTGTCCCAGCATAGTGAGGAGGCTCACAATGCCTTTGTGTGGCTGCAAGGGCACCTGCCAGTCCCGCTGCCAGCCCTAAATTGGACTCAGGAGCCTTCCCACTGTGTGTGTCATTCCTAGCTGCTTATGGGAGGCACACACATGCGCTGGGGCCAGAGTCTGAGTGGGATTCTGGCTTGGCCTGTTCTAAGTTGTATGGCCTTTGGAAGTCACTTTACCTGTCCAAGACTGTCTCCCCATCCACCATGTGAGGATACCAGCTCCCAGCCATGGGCATCATTGCAGACTCAGGGAAGAGGAGGCACCATCCTGCCACATTCCCATCCATTCCTGAGAATGGTTCCTCCTCAAATCATAGGGTCAGAACTGAAACCTAGAACCAGCATGCTTGACCCCCACTCCTGCTGGCGATTCAGAGACAACACACATCAAGATGGCAGCTTTAATTGTATTGATCAAGGCCCTGGGGTTCTCTCTGTTGTGGGCCTACTTAGCCACACACCCACTCTGACCATGTCCAAAACACTTCTCCCAGGTGGGCCCTGCCCTGTGGCCACTGATGTGGGAACCTGAGGTCACATCAGTCTGTGGACTCCTGGGTTGGGGGACCCTTCTGCCCTGAGGTCTGCTGGACACTTGGGCATGGGATTCAGTAGTCCTGAGCTCTCACTTCTGGCCATCTCCAGCTGCTCCGAGGGGACAAGGCTCAGGCCTGCTCCTAGGGCAGGGGGCTGGTGGTGGCATAAGGCGGGGTGGGGAGGAGGACGTGTCTCCACACTGCAGCTGGCTTCCTCCTGGGCCAAACCTCCTTGTGCTTTGAGACTGACAGGAAGAGCAGAGTTGCTTCAGGTAGAGGCCCGGCCCAGGCCCGTGGGGCAGGATAACAACAGAGAACTCAGTGGCCTCATGGCAGACAGGAGGACAGATGGCACAGGTGAGCATCCGTACCCTCCATTGCCACTGGGGGTATGGCATGGCCCATGACCCATCAAAGATTCAGGTTGGGATACAGGAGAGGACCTCAGAAGGGGGGGACCAAGCCCTAAGTCCCATACTTCCCAGAAGGAACCCCAGGCCTGTGGGGGCATCTGAGAGGCTTGAGTCCTGGCCCAGCTGGGCTCAGGGGACAGAAATCCCCCTCAAGAGAGGCTGCAGCTGACAAGGGGCTGGAGCCCACAAGGAGGCTGTGGAGCCCGCTCCCAGAGCACTCCAAGTTCAGACACGCTTCTGCCAGCTGTCCTAGGCTCCCCTGGCTTCTGTGTCAGGTACAGGTGGGACAGACATGCCTTCAGCTAACGCCCACTCCGCTCTGTGAGGGTCTTGGCGTGGCTGCCACCCCCTCGGGGGCCCACAGGGGTGGTGGTGCTGTTGGCGTATGTGTCGTAACTGTTGTCTGAACACACGGAGAGCTCGTCGGAGACCTCTACGCCATCGCTGATCTCTGCTGGGCCGGAGGGAGACAGAATGTGAATTGGGAAGGAGGCAGTCATGAAAATGGCTGACAGATGGGGCGGGAAGGCTGCACCACCCAGTCAGGCACTTGGAGGTGGGTGAAACTGGGCTCAGGTTGACATTGAGCCTGGCACTCAAGGCCCCTTTGGTCTCTGCTGAGCACTAGCTTCACCTCTGTCTGCTTTCCCCTGGGACTCCACTTTGCAGCCACAGAAAACCACCTGTGCCCCTGAGCTTGGCACCCATGTGTCCACTCTCCTCAGGGCCTTGGTGTGTGTCGGCCCCTCTCTCAGGAGTGACTGCCCCAACAACACCTCCTTTTCCTACAGTCTGGCTCAAGTCTTCCCATCTGTCACTCAGCCTCCTGGGAGCCTCATTGGAGCCCCAGGCTGGGTTGGGGCCTCCTCATGGCCACCCCAGCCCCTGCTTCCTTCTGCCTGGCCACATTCTGTATGGTTGCTGCCTGGGCCCCCAAAACACCTCAAGGACAGGGGTGTGCTCTGGGCATCTGTGTCCCCAGGGTGTGGTAGAGTGCTGGGCACAGAGCAGAGGCTCAAGAAAGCTCTGCTGAGTGGCTCTCGGCCCCATGGAGCTGCCTCACTTCCTTCTTGGTGCCCAGGCAAGTTGGTGCTCCCTTGCCACCTCTGCACACATGCCATGCCCATCTGGAATGTCCTTCCTTCTCTGAGCCCACTCAGCCCTCATCTTGAAGCCATTACCCAAGCACTGCCTCCACATCCTCCCCATCTCAATGTATCAGGAACCCAGTGCCTTCCTCACTGCCCAGGCAGCTCTGACCATGCCCTCCCCAGCACTCCCATCGCAGGAACTCAACTTCCCATGCCTGTTAATGCAGCTGCCGCCTCCAGAAGCCTGGGAGTGTTGACAGGGACTGACAAAGAGCAAGGATGAGGCCAATATTGTAGGATCCGAGTACAAACCAGGCAAAGGGGGATGAGCCTTCAAAACCGACTCCTCTCCCTGCCCCACCCCTGCCCACCAACCATGACACCGAGCCATGGTGGATGACACTGAGTGGATGACTGTGTGTGGCGGGGTGTGTGTTTCCACACTTGTGCTTGTGCCTTTGTGTGTGGGTATACCAGTGGGTTTGTGTATGTCTGTTCCCGTGTCCCTACCCATATGTGCTGCATGTGAATGTGTGTGCATACACATCTGTTTGCATGTGGGGGTGTAGACAGCTGAGCCCAGGGCCTGCCTCAACCTGTCTACAGGGCTGCGCACCTGAGAAGATGAGCTTCTCCTTCATGATGCTGACGTCCCGGCTGGTCCGGCGTACTGCGGCGCTCAGCATGATCTGCTCAGGGTTGTAGCTCCGTATGCCACCCAGGCGCCACCTGCAGAGATGGCCCCATGGGCATCAGGTCTCTCCCACCCCTTCCTTGGAGCAGGGACCCTGCCTACTTCTAGAGCCTCTCTGGATGTGGCCTGAGAGGCCAGCAGGACTCTTGTCCCACTGTACAATGGGGAAACAGGCCTAGAGAGGGCAGAGCTGGGGCTTGAATCAGAGCCTACTGACTCTCAGCCAGGGCTCCCTGGCTTCCCTCTTACCTCCAGAGCTGTCAGTCAGCAGCCCTGGCCCAGGACTAGTTTGGTTAGTTCTGTCTCAGGTGTCCCCAGTTATGCACCTGGCTCTTTGAATGCGACAGATTTGGGAGCAAGCAGGAAGAGCTCAGTAGGCATTCTGTTGAGTGTCCCCCCTAAGCTGGGGCACACACCAATCTCGGAGTCCCAGCTGATTGATTTCTCTGATAGCTCCACCATCATGACCAGGGTAAGCAAAGCCAGAGGGGAGACCCCCTAAGAGGAAGAGAAGGAAAGCAGGGAGGTGGAGGCAGGCAGTAGGGGGCTTTGCCCAGAGCTGGTCTGCATAAGTTCCCAAGGCAAGGGGGTTCGAGTGACTTGGAGTGGGGCCAGTTGCTGCTGTCCTGGCAGTTCTAACGGGGAGGGGAGCATGACTCCTCTGATGGCAGAGACAGGTGCAAGGTAGGGGTAAATTGACTCAAGAGTGGGCTGGGAGGTGAGGTGTGCACAGGACATGCAGGGTCCAGGCAGTGAGTGGAAAGGACTCAGGGTTCTGTGCCCAGCTGAGGCCACTGTCTTCACTACTGTGTTCCTCTGAACTAGCCCCAGGTCCCTGGCCTCTGAATTTAGACCCTTCCTGCGATCTAGGTTGAAGGATCATTGGACTCTTACCCCGTCTCCTCCAAGAGGAGTGGGTGATCAGCTTGGGAACAAGAACCCAACTGCCTCAGGGACTCAACCCTGCTTGGGGGATGGAGGGAGTCAAGACTCCACAAAAAAACAATTGTAAATTTCTAGATGGGATCAGCGCAGCAGAAGTGGACAGACAGATGGACAGGCTGATGGATGAGCAGAGCAGGCAGACAAAGAGAAAGCAGGAGGTAGGGGTGGCACAGACACTCTGGCGGGGCTGGCTGCCCTGTGAATTGTTGAAGGCAGCGAGCAAGTCTCTCTCTGTTCATTGCTGTGCCTGACACCATCAGTGCCTGCCATGTCCCAGGAGTCTGACCTGTACTTGTTGAGTAAATCAATGGAAGAATAAGGCCCCGAAGGGAAATGATATCCCTCCCCCCAGCCTTGTCCCCCTGGGTCTCTTCTGCCATCAGGCCTCTCCTGATCCCCAGGAAGCAATGACACCGTCCTGGCTGTCTGAGCAAAACCAGCATGTCTGTACCAGCCGCTGAATCTCCTTGGGGTGGCATCCCTGGCACTCTGGGGCTCTGCATGAGAAGGCCCAACTCCTGCTGCACGCACAGCACTAGACCCAGCAGCAGCCAGCATGTGTGGTTGCCGGTCAACTGGATGGACAGAGGAATGACTCGGGGAATGTCCCATAGCCAGGGACAGCGTCTCCTCCTAGAAGCTGGTTGGTGAAGCTGCCTGACCCAGGAGGGCCTAAGGTACTAGACAGAGGGAGACTTGGGTCCCTAAGCTCTAGGTCTCATCCTGGAAATTCTGAAACCCAGGACAGTGTCAGGCCAGGGTCTCTCAGCCAGGCATATCCAGAACCGGAAGTTCAGCCACTGTGGGGTCCCCTGAAGGGAATGAGAAAAAGGCTGTGTGTGGGGGGGAGCAAAGCAGGGATAGGTGTCAGAGACAGAATGTAAAGAAGAGACAGAAAGAGATGGGAGAGGCAGAGAAAGATAAACAGGAAGAGTAAACAGTGGGAGAGGCAGAGCCAGGGAGGGAGAATATTGGAAGAGGGAGACAGAAACTTGGTAGGGTCTGCCCTGGGCAGGTCGTGAAGGCCCTGGTGAGTGCCCAGGCAGGGTCCCCTCTCCCAGAGGGAGACACTTTGGTGCAGAGACAGGCCAGGTTAGGAGGCTGTCAAGGAAACACTGGTCCCCACCTGTAGAAATGGCCATGGGAGCAGGGAGCAGAGGGACACACATGGTGGCGGGAGGCAGCGGGACAGGAGGAACAGAAAAGGGGATTGCAGGGGTGAAGGAGGCTTCAGGCGAGGGCAGTGTCTGCGAGGTGACCCAGGCACAGGGCTTGGTGCACGGCAGGTTTTTAGACAGAACTGGAGAAGGGCATGGCAAGAGGGAGAAAGAGGAACAGGAGGAGGAGGAAGACCACACCAGAATTACCTGATCAAGTGATAGCTGTGAGATGCCAGAGTGCAGCAGAGAGAGGGGGAGGGGGAGAGAGGAGGGACATGCGCCGATCAGAGCAGGATGGGACAGAGAGAGAACGTCAGTCAAGAATAAAATCCCGGCCCTTAGTTCATGGCTGGGTGGGGGCCCCGGGCTGGCCCTAGACCCTCCCTGGGACCAACCACACCTCCCCACTGTGAACACTCCCCAGCTACCCTGCTGAGGGCTGGTGGGAACCCATGCCCTGGCTAACGGGTGAGCAGGCCAACCCAGAAAGGAGCTGAAATTCATTTAAGCCCACACAGCCACTCAAGGCAGAGCTTGGCTCTGGACTCCATGTTCATTCCAGAAGCCACCCAGCCTCTGTCCGAGGGAGGGAGGATGGGGCCACCAGTCTTGCTTCTCTCCTGGTCAGGCCTGCTCCTGGCTGGGGGCCCAGAGCTCAGAAGCAGATTCACTTGGCTGGGGCGGGGGCTGAGCCTGCTGCAGGGTAGTGATGGCCACGGAAGTGGTCAGATCCTACTCACTTCTGGAGCACGAAGATGCCCACGATGAGGGTGAAGGAGATCAGGTCGGCAGTGACCCACATGAGACAGTACTCGTCCGGGGGCTGTGGACAGACGGCCCAAGGCCAACTTCCAGTCATGGCCAGTCCAGACTGAGGCTCTAGACTGAGGGTCCGTGGGCCAGTGGACCCCACATGGCCATTGGGGAAGGGCAAGGGAGGACCCTGAGGGAGTCTGGGGCAGAAGATTCCATTTTGCAGGCGTTGCCTCCGGATGCTGTCGGCCTAGGGGCCGGGGGTGTGTCTGTGTGCCTGTGTGCTCTCAGGGTAGCAGGGGACTGGATGGTGCTCAGGGCATAGGGGGCGTGTGCTAGGCCTGCAGGTCTGTGTGCCCAGGAGCCTCAAAGCAGGAGCCAGATACTGAAAGACAGTGGCCCTGCCCTCCATCCCTCCCAACTCTCATCCCAGCAGTCCTGCCCTCTTTCCCCTGGCTGCCTTTCCTTCACCCTCCTCTCCCACATGACCATCCACGCTTGGGTCTGATTCATTGGCACTGCATTCTCTCAGCCATAAGGACACCATCTATCTGCCTTCCATGTACTTGGGGAGGTGGCAGTGGAGCCACTACCCCACTGTCAGGAGGGAGGTCAAGAGCCCCCCAGCGCCCGGGGCAGAACAGGGATGGGAACCCAGCCATCTGCAGGTGTTTGGGCAGCCAGCTTAATAGCATTTTATTTGCTGTTCTCTGAGCAGATTTTAATGTTTCCTACTCTTTTTTTTTTTTTTGAGACAGGGTCTCATTTTGTTACCCAGGCTGGAGTGATCACAGCTCACTGCAGCCTCCACCTCCTGGGCTCAAGCAATCCTCCCACTTCAGCCTCCTGAGTAGCTGGGACTACAGGCGTATGCTACCATTGACAGAATTTTTTTTTTTTTTTTTACAGACAGGGTCTCACTATGTTGCCCAGGCTGTACTCCTGGGCTCAAGTGACCATCCTGCCTCTGCTTCCCAAAATGCTGGGATGACAGGTGTGAGCCCAGCCCATGCTTCCTTTCCCTGCCCTATTGTTACCCTCCAATCCAAAGAGACCCAAGAAGCTCTTTACTTCTCTAGGGCCCTGAGTGATGCTTTTCTCCCTGTGGATCAGGCCCCAGGTCCTCCCAGGACCTTAGTGCAGGTCCCAGAGGCCATGAAATCCTCCTCATGCCTCAAGCCTGCACCCCCTCCACGGACTCCCCACTGCTGCAGAGACCTCCCAGGGTCAGCCCCAAGCACAGAGCTTGCCGAATTGTCAGTGCAGGCCATGGGCAGCTCCACCACTGCCCCCAACTCACCATGATCCAGAGCGGGGAAGGCACCTGGGAGAGGGTGTGGGAGTTATCAGAGGTGACAGATGGGACCCCCGCACACCACATCAGGGAGAAGAGCCATGGCGCGTTAATTGTGTAGAGGTTCACACTCAGGTTCCAAGATGCGTAGTCCCTGTGGGGCAGGGAGAGGCGGGTCAGCATGTGGACTCTGGTAGCTCCAGGCCCAGTGTGGGGGCGGAGAAAGCATGTCCTCTTCATGACCTCACAGCCATGGCCGGAGAAAGGAACGTCACTCCAGAGGGCCAAACTCGGGGATGCGCTCACCCGCTCATCTTTGAACCACGTGTGCCTGATTCCCGTGTGCCCATCCCTCTGCCCGACTGTGTGTGTGTTGGGGGGGGTGGTAGCAGAACTGGGGGAGACTCAGTCCCACCCTCTCCTGGAGGATCCCGGGGCAGGGCAGGCACCTGAGCTCCTGGCTGGACACCTGAGTGTAGCGCAGGTTCAGCCGCTGGATGTGGCCTCTCCGCAGGCTGGTGACCGCCTCTTTGAGGCCTGATGTCTGCTGGAAGCCGGGAGCCACCTTCCGCACCAGGGTCCTCTGCTTGTTAGGCAGCCACAGGACCTGCAGGCAGGAGAGGGGCAGCCTCAGACTTCTCTGCACAATGGGGAAAGAGTACCTACCCCTCCCAGAGCACCTATGGGGTGAAGAGATGGGACCTGGAGGGCGAGGAAAACTTATTAGCAGGGGAGGACTCCGTCCCAGCCAAGGCTGCAAAATGCACTGGCAGCAACTCAGGAAGCTTCCCTCTGGCCTGCTGTCAGTACAGGAGGGAAGCCCAGTAGCCACTACTCTGCACATGGCTGCTAGCACCTAGGGTGCCGTCCTAAACTGGCTTCAGATTTCTGTGGCCCCAAATTATTACACCACATGATAGGACAACCCTTCACTGAAGTAACTTGACAGCTTGGACCTTTATACATTTTAAAGTGTTTTCTTGTTCCCCTCTTGTCCCACGATGACCCTGGCAGGGAGGCGAGGGGTGCGTGATCCCCACTTTACAGATGTGAAAGCTGAAGTCCGGAGGGCAGCAGGGAGAGGTTAGGCAGCAGCAGGGCTCCAGCCAGGCCAGGGCTCCCAGGGCAGAGCAGTGCTGGAAGGCCTCACCTGGTGCTGGGGGAAGCCAGAGCGCAGCACGGCCTCCAGAGTGATGTTGAGGAAGCTGCTGCGGTAGGGGTGCTCACGGGGCGGGTCGCGCAGGTTGAGCAGCAGTGTGGCGTTGCCTTTGGCCAGCTCCAGGAGCTCTGCCAGGCTGCAGATGGACTGGTTCTGGGCCTCTCTGTAGTCGGAGGGTGACAGAGAGCTGGCCGTCCAGAAGGGGTCAGTCTGGCAGGGACAGGGACACACACATGGCTGCATCACGAGCCCTTTGGGGACCCCCACATGCCCTTCTGGCAACCAAGCATGGAGACCTCTGGGCTACCAGTTGGCTGGGGTCAGGCAGATTGATGGCTGTGGCCATGTGGAGGCTGCAGGAGGCCCCAGCCCTAACCTTCCTACCCCACACCCTGCTTACCAAGAGGATGGCTTGCTTGGAATAGCTGCCACACCCCACAGCATTTCTCCTTCTGGAGCATTTCACACCAGGCAGCCAACCCCTCTCCAGAGTTTTACAGAGTTAATGCTATTCACTGCTCTCATTCATGTCAACTTTTTCTAGTGAGGGAAACAGACCCAGAACATGCAGTGACAACCACGAGATATGGCAGCAGTGGCAGGAGCCCAGGAGGCCACCAATGCCTCTCACTCCCTGGAGTCCTTGCTGGTATTTTCCAAGCCTAAGCCTGGGATCAGGTGCAGCCAGACCTTCAGGAACCACTGGCCAGCGTTGAGCCTCTGCAGGGTGGTCCAGTTGAGCATGGAGGCAGGCCTGCGGGCGAGCTCCGGGAACTCCTCCTCCACGTTGGTGGTGCGCCGCAGGGTGGCATCGTGCATGAGGAAGGGCACGCCGTCCAGGCTACAGGGAGGGTGGGCCGCTGAGTCACTGACCCCCCCATCCCTCACCTGCCCACCAATGACTGTCACCTCCACAGTCCTCCCCACCCAGCACAGGATCTGGCTGGCTCTGCCCCTCTCTGGGCCTCAGTCTCCCCATCTGCACAGGAAAGACAGTGGGCTGGTGGATGAACCTGAAGGCCTTCTGGCTCTCTTTGAGGGTCAGATGAGGGTGGGGACTGCCAAGAAGGGCGGGCTGAGAAAAAGCTGGACCTACTTTCTTAGCAACCTTGGAAGGTAGGTGCTGCCTCATTTGATAATGAAGAAACTGAGGGTAAGAGAGGGAAGTATCTAGCTCAAGGTCCACAGCCTGTACGTGGTGGAACCGGCTTTGAGACCAAATCCCTGTGATGCTATGATGAGAGCAGTGCAAATGTAGACCTCTTTAGCAAACTTCACCCAACCCCAGTCCTTGTCTGCTCTACCAGGGCCGCCAATAGCTCATAGGGTGCCTTAGTGTGAAACAGTAGAAGGCACCCATGCCCTCTGTTCCTCAAGGCATTTTACCACCGTCTGCTAGAAAGTTACAATAAATACACAATTCTATATCTATACTAGGAACAATGTCCTCATATATGTGATGTCCTTGTTCAGTACATAACCTGTGCAACTATATATGGCAGTCCTGCCCTTCTTCCCTTTTCAGATAACTTCTGTTATGAGATTGGTATGGATTCTTTCTGCCATTTATACTAATATCTACTTATATACGTGCATGGAGAAAGTATATACGTCACTTTTTTGTGGTCTTTTAAAATGTAACTGGAATTACAGTGAATGTATCACTCTGAAACTTGCTTTATTTCACTCATGAGAGTGTTAGAGTTCTGTCATGCAGAGCCATAGAGATCTAGTTTTCCCTTCAAGCTGCTCTGTGGCAGGGCTCCAGGTCCTCACCCCCACCCCTGCTTGCACCAAGAGCATTTGTTCTTTATTCTATTTTACACCAGCAGGGTGACTGCCCTGCTGTGGATAATCTAAGCCTCTATCCTCCCATCTCAGAGGCTCTGAGACCAGAGGTTTCCCTAGCAGAGACCCAGGTAGATGCAGATGTGTGTGGGAGGGGTTAGAGGAGCTATTTTTCCTCCGCTACACCTACCTGATGGTAATGTCAGCCTGGAGCCCATACAGCTTCTGCTCAAGGGCCTTCCGGAAGGACATGAGAGTGTGCTCTGGAGCCAGCTGGGGAGGAAGGGGTGGTGAAGGGAGAGCCAAGAGTCAGCTGATGTACCCTCCCCAGCCAATGGAAAGTCTTCCATGTTGGGAGGCTGGGTCAGGCATGGTTCTAATTCTTTTTTTTTTTTTTTTGAGACGGAGTTTTGCTCATTACCCAGGCTGGAGTGCAATAGCGTGACCTCGGCTCAACGCAACCTCTGCCTCCTGGGTTCAGGCAATTCTCCTGCCTCAGCCTCCTGAGTAGCTGGGATTACAGGCTTGCGCCACCGTGCCCAGCTAATTTTTTGTATTTTTTTAGTAGAGACAGGGTTTCACCATCTTGACCAGGATGGTCTCTGTTGACCTCGTGATCCACCCGCCTCGGCCTCCCAAATGCTGGGATTTTCTAATTCTTGTTCCTCCATGGTGTAGCTGTGTGACCCTGGGCATCCACTACACTTCTCTGAAGTTCAGCTTCCTCATCTGTTAAATCATGCCTACCTCACTGGTTTCACTGCAGGGGAGCGGAGGCAGGGCTGGTGAGTGTTGATGCATTTAAATGCCTGACATGTAGCTAGCACTTGATACCTGGTAGCTATGGTCACTGCGTTTTCACTGCTGTATCCCAGCCACTGAGCTAGACACTGGGGCTGGAGGGCTTTTTTACAGTCCTCTGTGGCAATCTGGCAGTCTTGGGCTGGGGCTGAAAGTAAAATTCCCTCTTGGCTATACCCTGAGCCAAGTCCAGGGGGAGAAATGGAAGAAGAGCGGGTGGATGGGATGGTAGAGTTTCAGTGGGGACCCAGTTTCCTCATCTGTACAAATATGACAGTACCATTTCCTTCACTGGACTGCTAAGTGAATGAAAAGCCTCTAGCACCCTGCCTGATAGATATAGTAAGTGCTTGATAAATGGTAACTGTTTTGCCCTTACATCATCCTGGTTCTAGCATTTTTTTGTTTTATTTCTTTATTTCTTCTGTTTGTTTTTTTAAAATAAAATTGCACTTTTTAGGTACAGGTTCTAGCATTTTTTTGAGAGACAGGGTCTTGCTGTCACCCAGGCTGGAGTGCAGTGACACAATCACAGCTCACAACAGTCTCAAACTTCTGGGCTCCAGCTATCTTCCCACCTCAGCCTCCCAAATAGCTGGGACTACAGGTGCATGCCACCACACTGGGCTCTGGTTCTAGATTTGACTCTGCCATTAACTACTGTTCTGATTTTAGGTATATTTCTCTGTGGATCTCAGTTCCCCATGCGCCCCTTAGAGATGTGTATTCATGAGGGTCCTTATGCTTAGGAGAGTTGGAGTTCTAAGTCTCCCTCCCTAGTTCCATCTGCTCTGAGGATTCTGTCATACTCTTTGCTGCCACTGGGGGTCAGCACCAAACCAAGGACTGGGCTAAGAACAGGTCTATGAGGGAAGGAGGGAGGGAGGACACCTCTCTTCCCCCAGCCCTGGTCAGTGAAGGGGTGAGGTGGGAAGGCTGATCTCATTCATTCCCACAGACAATCCTGTTCCCACCTTCTGTCCCTCTGGCCACGATGTTCCCCAGCCACACCCTCTTCTGTGACACAGCCTAGCACTAGGGAGCCAGGGAGTAGCAAGGGCTTTGGAAGGGACTGAAAAGGCGTAATTCCATTTCCCAGACACAGCTGGGACCTCAGTTTCTTTAGCTATAAAATGGGCTAACACTGTCAACCTCATAGGTGAAGTAACAAATGTCACAGACCCTAGCCCAGGACCTGGCACACAGCAGGGTCTCTGTAATGAGTTCTTTCTTCCCCTGTCCCTGGCACAGAGCACCCTTAGAGGACATGCTACCTGTCTCCCAGTCCAGTGGGCTGTGAGGCACTCCCAAGGGGAGCAGGACTTTAAAGGCATGGAGAGAGAGGCATAGACTTAGTGGAATCCCACCCATCTCTAAATATCCTGTGATATTTAGACACGTGGACCCAGAGTCAGAGCCCCCAAGGCACTACACAGGGACACACAGAGGGGACCTTTACCAGACCCTCAGAAACTACCATCAGGGCATGATCAGCCAGATGCACAATATGAAAAGTTTCACAGGACAAATGACTCTGTTTCTCAGGACAAATAAACAGCATAAGGGAAAAAAGGGAGGGGGACTGTTATAGACCAAAAGACACTCAGGAGACATGACAGCCAGATGCATGCTGTGGACCTCATTTGAATCCTGTTTTTTTTTTTTTGTTTTTTTTTTTTTGAGATGGAGTCTCGCTCTTGTTGCCCAGGCTGGAGTGCAATGCCACAATCTTGGCTCACTGCAGCCTCTGCCTCCCGGGTTCAAGTGATTCTCTTGCCTCAGCCTCCTGAGTAGCTGGGATTACAGGCACCTGCCACCACACTTGGCTAATTTTTTGTATTTTTAGTAGAGATGAGGTTTCACCATGTTGGTCAGGCTGGTCTCAAACTCCTGACGTCAGGTGATCCACCCACCTCAGCCTCCCAAAGTGCTGGGATTACAGGCATGAGCCACCATGCCCCGCTGAATCTTGACTTTTAACAACTGTAAAAAGATATTTTGAGACAATAAAGGAAAATTTTTGAGACAATAAACATGGATTCCATTTTAGATAATATTAAGGAATTATCCTTAATATTGGCTGGATGTAATAACAGCATGGTGGTTATGTATCTTTCTATAGTCTTCATGTGTTACAGATACATGAAGTGCGTATGGGTAAGACAATAAGTTGCCTAAGATTGGCTTTACTACCCCAGAAAAAAAGTGGGGACAGATGAAGCAAGAATGGCAAAATGTTGATATATATGGGGTTGGAGTCATTATGTTCTTCTTCATTATGTGCATCATTATACAAATTTTTTTTCCACTTCTGCATATGTTTGACATTTTTCTACTAAAGAAAACCATCCTCCCTGGGGCCACCTCACCCACCCATCTTCTTACTTCAGGACACTGCTTGTGTACCCTGGCCCCTAGAGGGAGCACAGAAGATGGTAATCTGGGTCATGGAGACAGGAGGGGCCATAATTTTGAGCTCCTGAGAAGAGTCCCCCTGCCCCCACTGGGAAGGCTGGGCTTCAACTGGTCTTCACAATAGCCAGTGGCATGCGCATCTGCACCTCTGAGGCACAGAGAGGACTGGTGACTTCTCCAAGATGCACAGGCAGCATGTGGCCAAACCGGGCCTCAGATCCAGATCTGGCTGCCTCTGGGAGGGGCCGGGGCCAGCATGGGGGTCCAGCTTAGGGGCTGGAGAGTCTTATCTAGAAAATAACACACACCACACACAGGCGGCCCGACTTCCAGGGTGAGTGGCAGCTCGGCAGACCCAGCACCTCCTTCTGAAGCAGTTATGTGAGCCCCCCTTACTACCCTGAGGTCCTGCAACAGCCTGGAATGCCCTCAGGAAGTACCCACAGGCCCCCTGGTCAGGGTGGAGCTGGTACTGCCTCTGCTGAGAAGCCCAGGTTCAAGGCTTTGGTGGAGGAGGAGACCCTGGTCCAGAAAGAGGGCCCTGCCCAAGGTAGCAGCAGTGTGTACTTGTTACTTTCTGTGTGTTGCATGCATATCTGGGCACTGCTCACATGCTCATTCCTGCTCCTTGCAGCCCCACAGCAGGTGCTGTCACTAGTTCCGTGGTACAAGATGAGGGAACCAGGCACAGAGATGGAAACTGTTGTGCCTCTCACAGCTGGCTGTGCTGTGCTGGGATGCTGACTCAGGCAGCACGGCTCCAGAGCCTGACCCTCGCCTAAGTTCTCCTGCAGGGCCATGAGATACCTTGGTGCAGAATGTGGTGCTGACTTTCACCCCTTCTTCTCTCTAACTCAACTCAGTTTAGCCGGGTGGGCTCTGAGCTGCCTCCCGGCTCTCCCGGCAGGTTCTGATGCTTGCTGGCAGCCCCCAGGCCCTACGCTCTGTATCCGTCTCCTCGCCCTTCCTAACTTGCACCTGGGTCTAGCCTGGGCCTAAAACCCTCCTGCATCTCTACAGGGCACTTAGGACAAAAGTGAAATCTTTTTAGCAAGATGCCTTCAGGACATGTCAAGATGTGCTTCCATCCCAACACTCCTGGCCTTTTCACCAATTCTTCCCATGTAACCCCACCACCACCACCCAGAAAGCTACAAATCATTGCTACTGTTACATATATCCATTTTCCAAGAAGGTCCTCCCATCTCACCCACCCCTACGGGGCTGTTAAGACCCTGAGATAGTACTCACCATTGGGGCCCCTCGGTGGCCAATGAGGGCGGGTTTGGGGCCAAGGTCCTTCTTTTCCATGATGCAGGGAGAGGAGATGGTGAGAGGGACCAGGTAGAGGGCAAACACCACAGTGAAGAAGGTGCAGAGAATGATCACCTGGGAGGCTGCAGACAAGGAGCCATAAGCATCGCCTGGTGAGCTCTGGGCAGGTTGGGGTGCAATGCTGGACCCCTCTACCCCTGACCTGTCAGGACTCAGGTGCTCTGGGGTCAGCCCTCCCTCATTCTTGCTGGGAAGGTGAAGGTGAACCCTGCCTCCAACTCACACAGACACACGTGCGCACATGCAGAGAGACATGAGGAGGAATACAGTGTGATGCTGACCAAAGCTTCAACCCTCCATGGACTCTGGGCCACTGTGAGCCAGAATCCCCCTCACTGAGTGTGGAGGCCCCACCCCATCTTCAGGCCACTCAGTGAAAGCCCAGGTCAGGGCAGCGCCAGCTGGTCTTGGCACCTGCAGGGGTTGGAGGGGCAGGCCCTTCCAGTCCTACTCACAGGTCCGCTCTGTGCGGGCAAACTGTCCTGCCACGATCCAGGAGAGCACAGTGACTGCGGCCAGGGCCCCCACGTGTAGGAACGGCGCTGTGCCCTGTGCAGGGAGAGGTAAAGGAGACCAGTGATGCCCAGCTCTGCCCAGACTCTGTGTCACCAGCTTTCTACCTCTACCCATGGGCAGGCAACCCTGTCTTCATCTGCCAAGTGAGGACACTGGAGCCTTAAGACACTGGCATCCTCCTGAGCTCTGACCTGCTCTGTGACCTTGGGCCCCTCCCTGCCCCTCTTTGGGCCTTGGTCTGGAGAAGAGTGAGTGGCAGAAAAGCTCTTGTTGTGGGGGTCCTCGGGGATCAGCCACCCAGGCCCTCTCCCCACTCACCTGCAGGGAGATCAGCAGCACCTCCCACTCATCCTCCCACAGCTGGGCCACAGCCGACATGGCCACCACCGTGGAGGCCAGGATGACCATCAGGGCAATCTGGAGGGGGAAGTCACCAGACAGAGGCTCAGAGTGGGTGGGAGGGTCTCCAGTGTGTCTGAGAGAGGGGCCAGAGGAAGAGACAGGTGAAAGCAGGAGAGGCCGATGGAGCAGGGCAGAGAGGAGGGAGGAAAGAGACAGGCGTGGGATCCAAGGAAACCAGACACCGGCAGATGGAGATGGCAGGGAAAGACTGAGGCAGGAGGAGGCCAGCAGACGCAGGGAGGAAGGGACTGTGAGAAATGGAAGGGAGGATGGAGACAGGAGGAGCAGTGAGCTGTGAGGAGGGAGGACATTCAGTAAGGGGGACCTCTCCTGGGGCCGGCAGGTTAGTGACATTCAAGGCCCAGCCCAGCCTCCCTGCCACCTCAGCATGGCACAGCAGAGGAAGAAACCCACTTGCCCAGGCCATGCTCAGGCCTCAGGGGAAGGAGGCTGAGGACCTGGGTCTGCTGCAGGAGCCTGGCACCCTGGGCTGGGCTCACAGTGGCACTTCAGGCAGAGGTAGGTGGTGAAGCACAGCTCCACCCACCCCATCTCCATAGCCTGCCCTCTCCTGGCTTCCCAGCATCCCGGTCCACTGTGATGGAGGCTGCCCTCCTTGCAGTCTCCAGAAGAAAGCAGATCACAGCTCTGAGGGAGGATGAGGTGGCACCTCCAAGGGACAGAGATCTCTGGGGACAGATGAGACCTGAAATCTTCCACCATGTGAAGCTGATGAAGCTTCAGCCTCTGTGAAGCCAAGATTTTTGGCTCCTCAGCCCCTGGTCCCTGGCCCTGGATCTCACTCTACCCACACCCAGACATCCCCACCCCCAGGCCAGCCTCCCTAAAGGCCAGGCTTCACCTTTCCTCCAAAGCCTCCCATAGCTCCCAGGCTCTGGAAGGGGCAGTCAAAGCCACCACCTGTCCCCATGGTTTCTCCACACTCATCTCCCACCTCCCTGCAAAGGCCTGTCCTTCTCCCCTGGAGATGGCTGGTTGCCCTGCCTCCCTGGAGCCGCTCTTGCTGCTGGTGGGGCCCTCACCCCTTTTCTCCCCAGTCAATCTTTCCCAGAGGCAGCAGCAGCCAAGGACCCTCTGATGCCAGCCGAGCAGGGACAGTGGCATTTCTAGATGATGAGGGTGGGGCAGTGGCTAGCGTCTTTGCTCCCTGCCCAGGGACCTTCACTCACTGGGGGTTGCGTCTCGACTGGGATGAAGTTTCCCTTTGGAGGCTTTTCATTCTAGCCCATCAGCCTGGAAATGGATGTTCCCCCAGGAGACTTTTCATTCCAGCCCATCAGCCTGGAAACGAATGTTCCCCCAGGAGACGCGAGAGGCCAGAGACAGGTGAGGGACTGGAGGGGCAAAAGAGGCTCAGGCGCGCCCGGGCCGGCAGGAGCGCTTCACGCGGTCCCCAGGTTGGCTCTGCAGAGGCGTGGGCATCCTCATCTCACACAGGGAAGCGGGGTTCGGGGGTGGAATGGCTGGCTGGGTCACGGAGCTTTGAAGGGGCAGAACCAGAAACGAACACCTTCTGCCCATCTCAGGGGGTGAGGGGGTGTTTGCTCTCTCGGACAAAGAGGGGCGGGTTAGTGTGTCAGGGAGGCTGAGTGTCAGGTGTCAGGGAGGCTGAGCAGCCTCTGGGAGTCCTGGCTGTGCCTCTAGAGCCCCTGAGAACCCCGCCCTTGGCACTCAGGCCCCTCCTCCCAGCTGCCCCAGTCGCGCAGCTGCCCCCTTGTGACCATCGTGGGAGGAGGCCCTGCACAGGAGAGTGCCTTGGAAGGGTGGTTTCTGGGAGTGTCTCATCACAATACTTAACTGCTAATGGAAATGACTTGTAATAAAGCTGATTCCCCAAACTCTAATACAATTAAAAATGCTATTATCTCTGAGTTCCACGGTTGCTTTGGCAGTAGCCATCACACTCAGCAGCATCACTGCACGGTTGGCGTCTGTGGGACTTCTCCTGCCTTGCATCAAGCCACAGCAATAGTACTGACACCCAACAATGTAACCACCATCACTCCTTAAATCTGACTAAGAAGGATGAATCCCACCCTAGAGGCCCAGAGACAGACCACCGCCCTCCTCTGAGAAAACAGTCTTGGGTTCTCTGTCCTCATGGGACTGTGGCTTGTGATGGCAGTGGCGGGAATAAAGGATACAATAGCGCCTTTCATTCACTCTATGAGTCTGGCCTACGTGCTGGGACCTGAGAGGAGGTGGAACCCCACCTTGTAGAGGTGTGACGGCTGGCCTCTTGGGGGTACCTGACCTCTGTGTTCTGCAGTCCAAAGGGCAGACAGTTGGCCCTGGGTTAAGAGCCTCACTTGAGGCATGGTCCTCAGTCAAATCCTGGCTCTGCTACCTCCTGGGGATCTTTCCACATCCTCTCCAGGGACCTTCCCAGAGCTGTGAAATAGGGATAGCAAGTACCTACCTGTAAGGGGCTTGGGGAAGATCAATAAGGAAATGCGAGTGAATTGCTTTATAAAAAGCTGGTCAGAAGCAAATGCTTACTAAATCTCAGTGGTATCATTTAAAAAAGTGGGCATGGTATCAAGGGAACAGGATTATTGTGAGGAGTGAAATGATTGTGAAATGATGGTTACTGCTGTTATGGTGAATGCAGTGCCTGGCACACGCAGGAGGCTCTCAGAGAGTGTGTCTTCCTTAAGCTGCTGCTGGAGGGACAGAGGCTGGACACCAGGAAGAACCTTCAAGCTAGAGCCAGTGCATGGAGAGAAGTCTGGATTCACCAGGAGAGGTAATGAAATAGACACAGCAGATGGCAGGTAGAGGCTGATGGAGCCTTGGTAGGAGGCAGAAGCCCAAGACCCAGCCCAGCCAGTAGCTTGCCATGGGGCTGTGTGGCACCCAGTGCTCCTCTCTGGGGCTCAGGTTGGGTCCCTGACAGATCCCTTCTCTGTGCAGGTCCTAGCATGGGGGCTGCTGCCACTGAGGCAGGGGAGTCAGGTGAGGACACAGGGCAGTGCGGGGTACTTGGGGCAGCTAGGGAGGTGCGAGCTGTAGCCAGAGTGTCTCCCAGAGGGTGGTGGGCAGGGCAGGAAGGGGGGCATCTCAGGGAAAGGGCCTCCTGTTTACTATAAAGCCCCAAGAACCCTTCAGCCTGCTCCCTCACCTCCTGGGTACCTCAATTTCTCCTGAACGCTTACCTGGGAGAGATTTCTGGGAAACGGGAGATTTGGGCAGACTGGGGAAGAGAAGGAAGGTCCCCACATGGGCATCAAATCCACCTCCAGCACCAGCCTGCTATGACCAGCTCCCTCTCACCCTGTCCTGAGCACCTCTGTCGTCCCCTCCTCAGGACTCAGGGGAACCAGAGACTCTCAAAATAAAGTTCATGATTAAAACATACTATAAAATTGTGGTCTTTAGAATGCTGTGATACTGATATAAGACCAGCTAGATAAATGAAAATAGGTAAAAAGTTCAGAAATAGATCCAAATACATAAAGAAAATTTAGTATATGGTAAAAGTGGCATCTCAAATGAGTGAAGGACAGATTCTCAGTGGAGAGAGTTGGGAAGACTGACAAGCCATCTAAAAAGAACAGGGTAAGATCACATATACCCCAAAATAGCTTCCAAAAAGAGAAAAAATTAAATGTTAAAAAAGTGGAAATATGTAATTACCAAGTGACACCGTAGAGAAATTTTCATAATCTTAGAGTGGGAAAGACCTTTCTGAGTCTGACATAAAACCAAGGAGCATCAAGAGATGACAGATTCAAGTGCACAAGAATTAAAAAAAAATCCCTACGGTAAAAACACAGTGAACAAAGTCAAAGGATGAGCGACAAACTGGGAAAATTATTTGCAGTTTTTTAGCCAAAGGGCTAATTTCCCACATTGCTGAAGAGTTCCTACAAATGAATCGGCAAACAGCAATGGCAAAGACGGCAAACGTTACGAAGAGACGGTTTTATAGAAAAGAAAACACAAGTGACGCAAGCATGTGAAAAATGTCGAATCTAACTCACCCGAAGGGAAATGCAAAGGAAAACTACAGCAAGGGACCATTTCTCACCCATCGGGCTGGCAAAAGCCACTAAGTCAGCTGATGCTTGTTTTATGGGCAAGGGTGTTTTCATAGAACAACTATCCATTGCTAAGAGAGCATGAATCAGTGGCACTTGGCAAGAAGGCCATTTGGCAAAATCAGAGTGATGAAAGTACACATTCTTCACCCAGAAATTCCTCTCCCAGGTCACCGCCACATTGTCCTGGCAAAAGACAGAAGGCAACTGGATGTCGATCCGGTCTATCAACAGGGAACTGGCTGGATGCCTAGGGAATCAGGGAATATCCAGACCAGGGAGCAGGAGCCAGGGATGGATACCAACAGGGATGCTTTTAACACAGCGAAGAAGAAGGAGCTCCAAGAATTGTGTTAAGGTGCGGAACAGAGGGTGGAGTAGGCGACTATTTGTGATTAAAGAAAAAAGGAAAAGGCAATGCATATATACATGTGCTTGTGCTTAAAATACACCTGGAAAGGTAGTAAGGAGACTTTCTTTGTATACTTTTTTTGGCTTTTGTATTTTGAATCATGTCAATGTATTACATGGTCAAAAATTAATTTAAGAAAAACAAAAAAAGAATAAAGATTCCTTAGAATTTTAGAATCAAATGACAGAATCTTAGAAATAGAAGAGAATTTCCAGGCCCTGCAGGAATGCTCTGAGCTCTGGGGAACTCCCTCCTTCCTGGTGGGGCGGGTCCGGCTCTGGGTCAGCTCCACCTGGAAGGACCTTGCTTGTGCTGTGATTTCACAGAGGGGGCAGAGGGCAGAGGAAGGCACACCAGGAGCTGGCACCAGCATGGACGATGGGATCTGCCTCCTTGCATTGATCTGCCACCTCTGGCTGGCTCAGCAGCTCTGTAGACCTCTCCACTAGGATCAAGCAGGTGTGACCTTACCTGCTGAGAGCCAGACATGGCCCCAGGAGGTGACCACAGCATGTGCCAGCCCCACCTGGGATGCCAGCTGGTGCAGTCCTTTCAAATGCCAGCTTCACAGCCAGGAGAAGAAAGTCCCTCACAGAGGGGATGGTGGAAACCCAGAGGAGACCTGTGAGTAGAGCGAGGAACAGGAGGAAGGTGGGAGGCCAGGGGCTGCTCATGGCTCCTACCACTCTAAGACTTCAGTCTCGGGGGTCTGACTCCCAAGCTCCAGACCTGTGTAATGAACAGGTCTCGCTGCCTCCCTGGATGCTCACAGGCACCCCTACTCCACACAGCCCAACCCAGGCTCATGCCGTCCCCTCTTCCTTTCCTGTCCCACATCCTTCTAGCTAGGAGTGAGCCCCTCCCGTAGGAGTTGCTCTGGACCCATCTCATGGGCTCATGGTTGTTTCTGAACATTTCTGCCTTTTCCTAAATGGCAGGTCCATGGGGAGCCAGGCTCTGGGGAAAGGGAGATGACCCAGATGTTCCTGAGAGGGAAGGGCTCTGCCTTGGTCAGCTGTGTGCCACTCTGTGCCCACCAGGGCCTCAAGAAGGCCAGGCATCAGAAACACACTTCAGCACTGTGCCTGCCACAGATGTAAGCCAGAGAGTTAAGGCTCTGGAATGGGCGAATAGACCCTGTCTGCTCTGGGCCCAACCCTCAGCGGGGCACTGGGAACAGGGAGATGGAGGTTAACTCTGGCTTACAAGGAGCACCTCAACTGGGTGGGTTGAGGCAGGGAGCCAGATGAATACTGAAAACACAGCGGTTCAGACATGTAGCAGGGGAGGCTTCAGGGCCACGGAAGCCCAGAGAGAGAAGCCTGTGTATGTAGGGGAGATACTGAAGAAGGAGTCCGAGAGAGAAACGGAAGGCAGGAGCAAAGTGCTAAACAGGGAAAGGAGGCAGAGATGCTAGGAGAGAGTGAGATGTCTCATGCAGCAGAAGCTGAGGGTGACTGTCCCATGATGGGCTGGGAGATCAGTAGGGACCAGATCATGCCAGGTAGGGAAGTTTGGGTCATCCTGGAAGCAGTGGGAATGGTGGAAAGGCTTTAAGTTGGGGAATGCCATCGCCAGATCAGGGTTTTCAAAACAGCCCACCAAAGAAGGAAGAGGCATGTGAGACCCAAGGCAGGCCCACAGAGGGTGGGTGCCACAGTATGAGCTGTGAGCTCTGCTGGTTAATCACGTGGCTACGGAGCCAGGGCCCTGGATCTTCCATTTTTAAACTGGGAGAGCTTGGGCAAGTGACTTAACCTCCTTGTACCTCAGTTTCCCCAACTGCAAAATGGAATGGTAACAGTACCTACGTCACGAGGTTGCTGTGAGGGTGAGATGAGTGAATAAAGGTGAGGCTGTGAGAAAAGTGCTTGGTGCAGTGAGTGCTCAGCGATAACTATGAGAACAGTTCTAACGGCCATGCAGGGGAAGGACATGGTGGCCAGGTCCTTCCTCTGCTGCTGCCGCCTCCAGCTTCCCCTGCCCTCTCCCAGCTCCGGCCGAGGTGGCCCTTACCTTATGCAGCCAGTGAAGGTTCATCTGCTGCCCCACAGCAATGTGACATAGTGCCAGGACCTGAGGAGGGGCCCACAGGGTCCATGTCAGGCCCATGTAGATGGGAAGGCTTTGCCAGTTTCTCAGACACCCTGTTCCCCACTGCTGCTCTGGGCCTGACCCTGGGCAGAGGCAGCAAACCCACTCCAGGCGATGGGAATGCCCAGCCCAGACTAGCCAGCCTGAGCCTGGCCTCCTCCCAGCTGATTCCAGGCCTCTAGGCTCCTCCTCTGTGAAATTCCTCATCAAGAGGTCACTGGGTGCTGCTGCACTTGGACTACCCAACTTAATTCATCAAACATTTTGGGAGTTCTAGTCCCTGGGATTCTGAAACAGACTTTGGCCTGTCCTCAAGGAGTCCCCAGTCCAGCCTGGGGGATCCATCTGCATCTCAGTGAGTAGGATATTGGGAACAAGAACCCAAAGCAGAGGCTCCTGGAAGAGGAAGGCTGCAGTGAGCCCTCACAGCCAGGACAGCTCTCACCAGGTCCGGGGAAAACATTCCAGGAGAGACTGGCAAAAGCAAGAGGACCTCCTATCTTGGGGGACCCAGGGTTCAGAGGTGCAGCAGCCCTAGAGGCCCTGGGCAAAATATGAATTAATTACCATAGGGAGCCAACTCAACTTCCTACTAGTGGCACAAAATAGCTCCTAGTCATTCACTCTTATAAATTAACATAAAAATGAAAATTTCATACATATCTTTCCATATTTTTAATTACTTCCTTAGGATCGATTCTTACAAATACAATATTCCTACAAATACAGCTTCCCCCTTTATACCAGGGTGGGCCCCTCCATCAGCCCGGCACAGGCCAAGTCTCCCTTCCCCTGGGAGCAGGGCCTCTGCCCCTTGAAACAGCCCCACATACCAGGAGGCCAGCAATGTATGCAAAAGCAGCGGCTGTGGTCACAAGGATGGGCATGGGCCAGTCACTCCAGTAGCCCATGCGGTTATAGAGGTACCTGCCAGGAGGAGAGGGGGCAGAGGTCAGACCTCCACCAGGCTACTGCCTGGCCTAGGAACCAGGATGTTCTCAACCCTCACACAGACCACAGGCTGGGCTCAGCGACCAGGCCCTGCCCACCCAACAACAAGGCTACATGGTAGAGCGTTTGCCTGACGCTCTACCATGCCTGCTCATGGCAGCCGCCCAGGGACCAAGAAATGTAAAGGAGAAAATAATGCCCCATAATTCTATCTCCCAGAAGTAATCATGACCAAGACTGTGCTGGAGGTTCCTCCTGTGGGTTCTCCCGCCCCCATGTCTATATGTTTGTATAAACAGCAAAGCCAGGACCCCATTGCACAAAGCAACACAGGAACACGGGCTTTGGAGTGAGGAACATGCACATAGGCTGGATTCAAATCTCCTCTCTTCTCTGCTTCTTACTGTCTTGTAGGACCTTGTGGAGGTGACAGCCTTCACTGATTTTAACATGCCATCAATTCTGACTGCCATCTCAACTTCAATGTTAAAATGTGAAAAGTGGGGGTCTTAGAATTGATCAAATGTCATACTTGACCTCTCTGAGCCTTAGTTTCCTCACCTATAGGATGGAGACAAGAAGAAAGTGCCTTTCAGGAGGCCTCATGAGGATGGAGCAAGGTGAGATGCATGGTGAGTGTTCAGTACACTCTCCTTGTTTTCATTTGTTTGTTTGAGACAGGGCCTCTGTCACCAAGGCTGGAGTGCAGGAATGCGAACACGGCTCACTGAAGCTTTGACCTCCTCGGCTCAAGCGATCCTTCTACCTCAGCTGGGACCATCGCTACCCACCATCATATCTGGCTAATTTTTTGTATTTTTTGTTGAGGCAGGGTCTTGCCTTGTTGCCCAGGCTGATCTCAAACGCCTGAGCTCAAGTGATCCTCCCACCTCAGCCTTCCAAACTGCTGGGATTATAGGCGTGAGCCACCATGCCTGGCCAACTCTTCTCAACACAAGCATTTACTTATGCCAATAAAAATCCTGAGAAAATGTGATTTTTAAAACAGCCACATGGCTTTCCACTGAATTAATGTGCCATATGTAGCTAACTTCCTACTAGTCATATGAAATAGTTTCTAATTATTCACTATTTTAAATTAACATAAAAATGAAATTTTTATACATATCTTTCTGTATTTTTGATTACTCCCTTAGGATAGATTCCTACAAAGATAATTGTAGGGTCAAAGAGAATGAACGTTTTTTGTTTTTGTTTTGTTTTTTTTTTTGAGACAAGGACTCACTATGTTGCCCAGGCTGAACTTGAATTCTTGGACTCAAGCAATCCTCCCGCCTCAGCCTCCCCAGTACCTGGGACTATAGGCACATACCACTGTACTCGGTGGGAATAAACTTTTAAAGGGGCCTGATAGATACTGCTTAGATGCTCTCCAGAAGGAATGAACTACTCACATCCTCTCTATGAAGGGCGAAACTGAGGCATAAAAGAGCAGCAACTTGTTTAAGGTTATTAGAGAATCCAAGACAGTTCCAGGCAGCTCCAGCCTGCTATCATCTGGGACCTTGCCAGGGAGCTGGGAAGGGATACCAGGAGGACCCCATGGGGTATTCACCCTCCCTGGCCCTCACCCTCAGAGTGAGGGGAAAATCTACTGCCTGGCAGATGACTGAATGCACACACCTTACCGTACAGTTGGGAAACTGAGGCCTGAAGAGGGGCAAGACTTGCTCCTGATAACTATTCCCAAAAGACATTCTGCTCCCACTTGTCTCTCAAGTGTGACCACTTTTGTCAGGGAGCCCTTCAGGACAGCAACTGCCCAGAGGGCCCTCCCTGACCCTCCTCATCCAGTGCTGATTCCTGGCTGTCGCTCACATCCTCTTACTGTATGAGTTATTCCCAGAGATTTTTTTTAGATGGGTTCTGTGTTGCCCAGGCGGGAGTGCAGTGGTATCCCAGCTAGAGATGTTGTTTCCCAGGAAGCAGCCCTCGTTTAGGTAGAGCTCTGAGTTCTCTTGTGTCCATCAACTTGGTTCATCCTCAGAAAGACCTGATGTTACCCCATTTTACTCTGAAAGGGGTAAAATGTGATCTTGGCAGAGTTACCCCATTTTACTCTGAAAGGGGTAAAATGGGATCTTGGCTCACTGCACTGCAACCTCCACCTCCCAGGCTCAAGCAATCCTCCCACCTTATCCTCCCAAGTAGCTGGGACCACAGGCATATGCCACCACATCTGGCTAATTTTTTGTAGAGATGGGGTTTTGCCATGTTGCCCAGGCTGGTCTTGAACACCTGGACACACATGATCTGCTTACCTCGGCCTCCCAAAGTGCTGGGATTACAGGCATGAGTCATTGTGCCCAGTCCCCAGAGACTCTTGAGACCATCAGGACTGGGACCAGGCACCCTGAACCCCAGCACTGACTCCAAGAAACTGAGGTGACAAGCTGAAGGAGCTGCAGGTCTCCAGGCATCCCCCTTGCCATCTCCCTGACAGGGCAGGAACTCATCCTCTGCTTGAATCTCCCAGTGACAGGGAGCTCACTCTCTGGGTAGAGTGGGTGGCTCCATGGACATGATACAGTCAGGTAGGCTGAAGTCCCTGTCCCAGATCTGTCTGCTTCTTGCTGTGTGACTTTGGAAAGGCTACTTAACCTCTCTGAGCCTTGGTCTCTTCAGTCTGTCCTCAATTCATATTTTTGGCACTAAACTGGTTGTGTGACCATGGATGAGTCTTGCCCTTCTCTGGGCCTCCATTTCCCCATCTGTATATGATGGGGGTAGACTTGATGATCTTCTACGCAGCAGACCCCCAGTTCAGAGGAACTGCCCGGGTCTGCAGTTGTGGGCCAGTAGGGAACATTCACATTTACTGACGATAGTGTCCATGCTTTGGACATCTGCAAAGATGAATATTTGATTTATGGCATTTAATAAAGGCCAGAGGTCACCTCCGGGACTTGGCCAGGGCTCCAGCTCATCTTGCTTCACGGCTGCAGGGCAGGGGTGGGACTGCAGCATGTTCTTGATTGTGTTCATTAATAACAGAGGCATGGCTTGGTGCCATGCAGGGAAAAGCAGATACCCAGCTCCATGAATGGAGTCCCAGGATCATCATAGAATGCTAGATCATCATAGAATTCTGACAGCCTGTCAGAAGCCCAGAGTCCTGCAAATCCCAAATGCTAACATCATGCTGCCTCCCGGCTAGAGATGTGGTCTCCCAGGAAGCAGCCCTCATGTTTAGGTAGAGCTTTGAGCCCTCTCATGTCTATCATCTCAGTTCATCCTCAGAAAGACCTGATGAGGCCAGAGTTACCCCATTTTACAGAAGGAGAGGCTCAGAGAGCACTGGAGACTTGCTCATGGTCATGCTGACCTGAACATCTGATCAAAAGGAAGGAACAGCAATGGATGGGGAGGAGCCAGTTCCAAGCCCCAACTCAGCCCCCCACTGGCTGTGTAACCTGGGCCTGTTTCCTTATTTGTCATTGAAACCCTGGGTCCTTCCCCTCTTCCCATGGCCTTCCACTGCTTAACAAAAGGCAGGCAATGGAACGTGAAGAGGAAGAAACCCCCCTGTACCCAGGTAAGTGGCTCAGACGGCCCTGCCTTTGGATCTGAGGTACTCACAAAGGACCCTGAGCTGTCCCCAGACTCATCTGCCAGCCCTGCCCAGGGCCTAGCTAAGGGAGTTAGGAGGCCTAGGATCCGGGGCTACCCCTCTGCAGAGACCTTGGTCTCTCTGAACCGTGGATTTCTTATCCGCAAAGTGGGTGACCGGAGGCCCCAGCCCAGGCTGAGCCCTGGCTCAGCCTTAAGTTCTTATTTTCCATGGTTGCAGCAGCTCAGGGAAGGAGCACCCTGTGTCTCTCCAGGGGGTTTTGGCTTCTCTAAGCCTTTGTTCTTTGAGGCTCCCCTCCACCTCTTCAGGGGGCCAGGAATGCAGGCTGAATCATCAATGCAAGCACCAAGGGGGCTCCAAGACCAGCAGCTAAAGTTCCCCAGGTTTCGATCCTAGCCATTCTTTAAGGTCTAGTTCCTATGCCTCCTCCTCCAGGAAGCCTTCCCTAAGTCCCCAGTGGGACTCCCCTCAGGGCAGGAGAGACTCCCCTCTCATTGTTTCCTTTCCTTTCTTGCCAGCCTGTGATACAATCCTTACCCACACCCCGGGCACTTCCCCTTACAGTCCCACACCAGCCTCCTCACCAAAGCCCTGGAGGTGGGCAGAACAGAGGCTCCCAGGGAGTAGGCCCTGGCCAGGACCACAGCTGGTGGCAGAGCTCAGAGGGCCAACCTGGGAGAGAGGCTCTAACCCCAGCCCCCAGGTCCCAGCTATGGTACTGGATACCCAGCTCCGGGCCCCTTCCTCCCCTGCCCCCTGCCCCCACTCACCAGTTGAATTCATCGTAGTCATTGTGGACTTCCCACCAGAAGTAGAGCCAGGTGAGCGTGAGGCCAAAGGTGAAGGTGAGGAGCAGGAACCAAAGGCGCTCCCACTGGAAAAGCAGAGGAGGAGGGGGTTAAGTGGGTCAGGTAGGGGCTAGCCTCTGAGGCTGCCTCCCACCAGAATGTGTCCCCCTCCCTCCCACCTTTTTTTTCTTTTTTTTGAGACGGAGTCTTACTCTGTTGCCCAGGCTGGAGTGCAGTGGCACCATCTTGGATCACTGCAACCTCCGCCTCCTGGTCCAAGCAATTATGTCTCAGCCTCCTGAGTAGCTGGGATTTCAGGCACGTGCCACCACGCCCAGCTAATTTTTTGTGTTTTCAGTAAAGACGGGGTGTCACTGTGTTAGCCAGGATGGTCTCGATCTCCTGACCCTGTGATCTGCCTGCCTCGGCCTCCCAAAGTGCTGGGATCACAGGCATGAGCCACCACACCAGGCCTCTTCTCCCTCCCACTTTGCAGCCAAACCTGCCAGGCAGGAAATCCTGCCCTCTTTACCCTGGGAGAAACTGAGGTTCAGAGAGGGAAGTGACCTGTCCACCATCACCAAGCCCAAAGTCACAGAACAGTGGAGGGCCAGGCCAGGGCAGGGCTGTGCTCTTTTAACTGCAGTTTTTCCACTGTGTACTGCTCTCTGCATTCTGAGATGGCCCCTTGGTGCTGGCACTGTGATCGTGATCGGCAGTCTGTAAAGTCACATTCCTCACACATGCCTACAAAACAGGCATTGTTCTTCTCCACCTTTACCCCATGCTTCAAAGAAAAACATTGAAGGCCAGAGAAGCCAAGTCACTTGTGCAGGTCACACAGCAAGTTAGCAGAGGATTAAGGACCAGCGCCCTGGTTTCTGGACTAGAAAAACGGCAGAAGTGCTGTGTTCTGCTGCCTCCATTGAGCCAGATACCCGTCTCCAGCCAGGTGGAAGTGGGGTGGCGGGAGACACTGACACCACCACTGCTGTTTCCTGAGGGGCCAGCTCAGCCTCTGCAGGTGCTTCCTCCTGGCTCCGGTTTCTCCTTGCTTTCATCTGTCCCCTTATCTTGGAAGCACAACAAGCTTGGAATATCCTGCATCCTGGGAAACTGCTGAGATCATCAGAACAAGTCAACAGCCCTTGAGGGGAGGTCAGTGTGAGGAAGAACCCAGACTACCTTCCCCTTGAGGGTGTGAAGTCAGGGAAGCAACCCTACCTCTAGGCTCCCTGCTATGTTTCTGAACCACCCCAGTTTAACCTCTTCATGGCTCCTTACTGATAGCCAAGCAGGGAAGTCTTCTGGGTATGGCACCCTGACCTCTCCAGCTTCCACCCTCACAACCAGTTCCTTCAACCTGGAAGGGCCACTGCCTCAGGGCTTATTCTCTGAACATTCCCACTCATCCTTCAAGTCAGCTCAAATATCACTGCTTCTGGGAAGCCTTCCTGGATCCACCCTGCCACTGCCTCTGTGAAGCCTTCCTGGATCTACCCTGCCACCTCGAACTGGCCACAGTGCTCCCACAGCATCAGCATCCCTCTGTCTAAACTCGTGCTTTGCACACCACGACCTGCTGTGTGTCCCCCAGACAAGCGTGGGTTCCGCAAGAATGGGGACCCAACCGACTTCCACTCCACTAGTATTTTAGGACCACATGCAGGAATGGGCAGGAAGAGGGAAAGTCCTCTCACTGTGCAGAATCCCTTCGTCCCACACCATGGGGAGACACCATCAGTCTGCTGGAGAACCTCAGATCTCTGTTACCACTTACAAGCCCTGTAACCTTGGGCAAAGTACTCATCCTCTCTGTCACTTAGTTTGCACTAAGTGAAATGACGGCAACACTAGTACTTATGCCACGGGGTTGATGGAGAATTAAAAGAGATAATACAAGTCAGGTGGCTTGGCGAGCACTCAGCACACTATCAGCGTATCTGTGGCATCCTCTGCCTCTCCAGAACATAGGAAAGACCTTCACACCCTAATGGTCCATGACTCCATACCCACTAAGTGCCCACTCCGTGCCTTGTCTGGGCAAGAGGGGTGGTGCTTGGGTGACCCTTCTGCCCAGGTGGGTCACCCCAGGTGGGCCACTCATGCTTGGGTGAGCAGCTGCCACCACTCCTTGTCATGTGCAGAACCAGACCGCCTTGCTTAGCCCCACTTTGTACATAAACAGAGAAACAAAGGCGATGACACCCTGAGACCCAGTGTTTCTATGAGGTTTAGGTTTTGGGAGGTGGCTTCTCAGAGGGTAGGGCACTTGTGTCTGCCCCACCTGGACACAGAATGGCACAAACTCCAGTTGCAGGCATGGCAAGACCCAGCTTCGGTCAGGAATAGAGAAACCCTGGTTAGGAGCAGGGCAGGCCATGTGCCCTTCTGGAGCAATGGAACCCTAGGAGCCACTACCCAGAGAATGGCTGGGACTATCTAGAACTGAGTCTAGGGACTCAGTCCTGCTTCCCATGGCAGGGCTGTGGGGCTGGCCCAGACTGCCATGTCTAAGCCAAGGCTTTCTGGCGCTGCGCACGACCATCTCCCCACCACCCTCCAGCCAGCACCCCAGGACTAGTCCTTCTCATAATCCCTCTTACCACCTCAAATTCTTATTTGCTCATAACAACCTTTATTTCCTGCAGAGTGCAGCCGGTGAGTCCCAGGCCAGCTTAAACATCCAAGTCTTCCAAAGGGTGAGCCATGTCTTTAGACTGACACCCATCTGGTCACATCATGCCCCAGCTCGAGAGTCCCATTGGCCCCAGCTTCTCAGTAGATGTCAGGGCCCACTCTGTCTGGCCCAGGCCAGCCTCTGTGCTTTATGTCCCATGTACAGAATTAAATATGGTTCCCCAAACAGACTCTCCAGACTCCAGGCCTTCACACAGCCAGAGCCTCCATCTAGAAAGCATCCTTTCTCTGCTTCATCAGGCAAACCCCTACTCCTTCCGAGTGCCCCTCCCCGAAGACTCCCCTGTTTCACTCCGCATTTCCTCAGAGCTCCATAACCCATGCAAGCATCTCACTTACAGCTCAGACCCCACAGTCCTAGAACTGTCTCTATACATGTCGGCCTCCCTGCTATACCTAAGTGCCCGAGATCTGGGCGGTCTCCATGCTCCAGGTGGCACAGGGACTTGAGAAAGATTTGACAACAAAATTATAGTTGAGGAAACACCCTTTCTCTTGCCCTGCACAAGTACATACACCCACCCACGAGAGATTTCCCTGGGGCTTAACACCCCATCCCCACAAACAAGTGCCTAGTCGCCTATAGCGCCCATGCTGGCAGTGCTAGATGGCTGTTTACAGAGACCACGCTGCCTCCTCAGGGGCAAGGCCTGTGTGCCTCTAACCAGCAGAGTAGGTTCTGAAGGGACCTGGGTGAGGGGTGAGTCTGGGTCTGGGATGAGTCTGGTCCCAGGCAAGTAGCCTGGAGGTAAGAAGGTAGAGAACTTGCAGTAGGTGCTAGGAAGACATCCTGTGGCCAGGGGGATGCAGGGCCCAGGGGCAATGCTGACAGGGGTTAGGAAAACAAAAGGGCCCAGGAGGGCCCATGGCAGCCAGGGTCCTATGCCCCAAAGGCTGTTGTCCTCACGTATCCAGATCCTTAAAGTGGGGCAGGGCAGGGCAAGAATGAGGGGCTACACCTCTCACCCCTGGGTATCAGCCAAAACTAGAGCTGGTGGTGGTGGGGGGTGAGGTGCCCAGGCATGGCAGGAATGTGGGCAGGACCTAAGCAACAAGGAGCTAGAAACCCCATGATCAGAACTAGGGCATGAGCTGCGGTTGGGACGACCTAGGATTAAAGTCCTGGGAGCTGGAGCTGGAGGCCACTGGGAGCCTGTAGATGGGGGCGAAGAGGCCCCAGCATAGAGAGAGGCAGTCAGTGGGGGTCACTCTAAGAACAATCAGAGGAAAACACTGAATGGCAAGGGCTGGGAGGAAGGGAAGGGGAAGGGGAGGAAGTGGCTGCAGGAAGTGGCCGTGGAGCAGCTCCACTGATAAAGAGGCTCCAGTGGCACTAATGGTCCTTGTCAGGGCACGTTACAGCAGAGAGAGGCCTGCCTGCTCCACCCATTAGCAGGCCAATCTGGCCCTGCTCCCAGAGATGCGGAGCAGTGATCGCTGCCCCAATGCCATGGCCACGGCCCTTCTTCATCTCTCATAGTCTGCACAGCACCATGGGTTGTTTATTTAGGGATATCTACCCCCATTGCACAGAGGCTCAGAGAAGGGCCCCCACATATGGCTGAGCAAGTCATGCATTGCCCCCTAAGAAGTGCCACTCACGTCATGGTGACCATCAAGGTGCATATTATGACGATTTGCTGGCACATGGTGGTCGTGTCCTAGGAAAAGGGCGCTTTTTGCTGATTTGCATAAAGGCTCAATACGGGTGAGTAGAGGGGAGTCGGAGGGGTCAGCAGGTAGGGGAAGAGTGGGGATAAGATGTGAACCCAGGTATACTGACTCCGCCTTGGGAGGCAGCCTGCACAGCCCCCCTCAAAACCCACCTTTGCCCTCTGGGACCCAGTTGGCTATCCCAGGCCCAGCCTGGCTCCCTGGATTTCTCCCCTCCATCTCTCTTACCCCAGGCCAGACCTGTTGCTCCTTCAGGAAGCCTTTCCATTCCTCCAGACCTCAAAGGGCCCCCCAAGGTGCACAGACTCTTGGCACCCACTACTGTGACCCTCAATCAAATTGTAAATTGTGGAGATGGAAAGAATACAGGCTCTGAAGAGCTGGCTCTGCCACTCAGCACGTCGCTTGGCCCCTCTGAGCCTCAGTCTCCTTGCTGTAAATGGGAATACAGCCCCTCCCTCGGAAGAAGGCTGTTAAAATGAGCTGAAGGGCTTCAGATGGCACACAGAAGGCGTCTAATAAGGGCTGGCTCACTGGGCTGCAGGCTCCCTCAGGTCAGGGATGGCCTGAGCTATCTCTATGTCCCCGGGCTCAGAATCACGCCGGGCATGAGGTGATGGTCATCTGTGGCGTGAGGGACAGAAGGAGGGATGGATGTGAGACAGGCTGACATAGGGATGCTCAGGACCACCAGTGGGCAGCATTATGCAAG